TTGGTATTATGCTTTCACATTACGCTCGTGGTATCCTAAAAAACACTCTCGCTTCAAAAGCCCAAAGCATCGACTCGCTCGCTCTCTAGCAGATGTAGGTGTACTGCGCGCGAATGCCGCCGTTGTCCTTGCAGCCCTGCTGGTAGGCGCTGAACTTGCTGTCGTCAACGCAGCACTGTGGTTGTCAGTTAGGGAATGTGCTCCTGCTCCAAGGCGAGACTTGTCGTGACTTACGGCCGCGGGGTAGCTCTTCTCCGGGGTTCCGCCGACTGCGGTGCAGATGTTGGTGCTGGGGTTCGGGTTGCCGCTGTTGGTGACGCAAAGGTAGCCAGCGAATGCCGGGCTGGGCGCGGCCAGATCTATTAGCGACGAGAACTCAAAATGATTAAGGTTAATGACGTGCGCTGGCGGGTGGACTTACGCGGCGTGCACCAAGGCGAGGGCGAGGACGGCGGTAACCCTCATGGTGATGATGTGAAATTTGATGTGTGTTGGTGAGAAAGTGTTGCTTTGGATTCGATTGTTTGGAGATACTGTAGCCTCGCAAGAATTATGGGCTTGATCATGTGGCTTGGAAGGAGGAGCGAGCGAGATATAACGGTGCCGATTTCCTTGCGGTGCGAGTTTTGGCAGCGCGAACGACTCATTGACGACATGGATAGCCATGAAGGTTTGGGGGAGCGACGGGGGAGGACCCCTGACACAATATATTTTTGACGGGACATCAAACGGTGTGCCTCTGCTGTTCAATATGGCTTAAGTGGCTGTGGTCACCTGTTTCTCATGCCGTCTGCTAATGTCTTTGCCGCTTTTCAGGATGATGGCGTCGGCAATCGTGTTCGTGAGGAGCCAAGACTGGACTCGGTTCTACCCGAGTAGCTCGCCTTATAACCCCCGCGAAGAAACGCAGAGAGTGATAAGTGGCCAACGCCTTCCGGTTTACATGCCACTTGCGATTGATGGCGGCGTTGTAGACAATTCAATGATTCCCCGTTAACAGAAGGGGTCTGGACTCTGGCCTTTCGCAAGGGTTGACTTACAATATCCATCCAGCAACATGCGCTCGGATATCTCCAACACCGAAACCGAAGAAGACGTCTCTTGACTCTTCACCCTTCTCGAAATCTTCCAATTCTCGCTCAAATGCGAAACGGCATCTTCCGCCAGAACACAGGGCCGAGATCCCATTGAGATTGCGAGCGGCACTGGAGCGTGGGCCTGGGGAAATGCCACCGAAGCCCCCACGAGTCAGTGATCGCCGCGGTGTTGGCTGTGCGCGCGCCCTGCCCTGCGGCGGGCCTCTGCTTCATGAAGTTCAACGGTCCCTTGAGTTTGAGGAGGGCGCCGGTCGGACGAGACTCCGAAAGATCTCTTGTGTTGGCAACTTTGGGGAAGCATGGCTTGCATTGAGGCCTTGCGACGCGCTGCAGCGTTTGGGATCTATTGCGCACGAACGTGTGCTTCGTCTGAACATCGAATGCCCACGGCGAACACCCCCAGCCCGTTACATCCAACTCATCCTTACAAACCGCCGCGGGTCCCGTGGACGTCCTACTAAGGTGAGATGACCAAACGATTAACCAACGACCATGCATTTGGAAATTCTGCTCTGGTGATCGACCTTGGCACACTGTGCCGGGCAGTAATTACCCCCCCGACGACCGACACTTCTGCTGTTTCTCCTTCTCTCGCCGTTTACCACGTGGTGATGTGGCTCCCGGTGGGATACTTTGTGAATGCCCCCAGCCGGAAAGATGGGCAATGACCAACAACAAAATCAACGTCCATTGAGACACTTCTGTTGATGTGATTTTCTTCTACAACCTCTGTATAAGTTAAGAGACACATCGAGACTTCGATGCAGCAGGTAAACCACAATACTTACACATTCTGGCTGCACTGAATTGCGTGGCCCTCCTTTTTGATCACCCAGCAACATCTAGCTCACTCATAGTAACAATCTCACAGGATCCCTTGCACTACATGCGACCTAGGCACCATGCTTCTAGGCGCCGTACATCGCGATTCGCGGATCTTTTGTCCGCTCTGCATTCCATCTATCTCATTCAAAATAAGCTCGCCAGTCGGCACGTCAGCCGAATGCTTATCGTCTCCAAACCGTAACAGGTAAACAGCTGTGCGTGGCTACAGCTCGAGCTAACGTATCACGTCACCCCATCACGGACCACCGCCGCCGCCTTTCGCTGCAGACGTTCCCGGGAAAGGGCAGCTCGTTCAGAGTTTGGGACGAAATGAGGGGATCTTGCTCCAAATCTACATACGACGCGTCCGCGCCAGAATCAAGCTTTCGGAGAATTCTAGAGGACGGGAAAATTTGTGGTGGTTCTCCGCGCGGGAGGACTACTCGACGATGAGGGGGCATTTGGGTTTGGAGGCGACGATAAGTAGGCTATGTCGTCCGTTGTGGTGCGTGTTCAAGATGGAAGCAGCCCAGTTCGATGAGTAGCTCCTGTGCGGGATCCAAGCCACTGTCATTCTCATCGCAAGGTTTCCGATTCGAGGTCGAGATGCACTACATCAGCCTCCTCGCCGGCCTGGCGTCCATCTGGGGCGCGGCAGATGCGGCCTTTGGCCTGGCAACCGATAACAGCACAACTTACAAAGTCGACACCAATGGCGGGCTCGTTTTTGAAGTCAACAAGTATGGCCTTCATGAAGATGTCCCCGTCGATCGGCCGGCTGACAAAGATGCAGAGCAAACGGCGACATCACAAGCCTCCTCTACAACGGCGTCGAGTACCAGGGAGCCTCCAAGATGTCGCAGATCAACTCTGGCCTGGGCGCCTCCACGGTCACGGCGAACACGGTGGGCGGCGTGGTCAAGATCACCGTCAAGGCGGGTGCGCAGCCGCTGACGCACTACTATGTCGCGAAGCCCGACGACCCGACCATCTACATGGCGACGCACATCACAGGAGAGATCGCGCCCGGAGAGCTGCGGTGGCTTGCACGGCTGAGGCGGGCGGCGGTGCCGACTGGATGGCATGGTGATGTTGCTGATCTTGACGGGTGTACGGCGTTCGAGGGGAAGGACACGTTTAGGTGTGCGGATAATACGACTCGTTGCAAAATGTGAGTGTGGTTTGCGTGTTCTCACGCCTCAGGGGCTGGGCCAAGTTGACACCGATGGAAGGTACACCTCGGATCGATTCATCGACGACAAAGTCCACGGCGTCACTGGAAACGTAGGTCTACGCGAGCAATAGAGGAGATAACAGCTAACCCTGTGTCGCAGAATGTCGGCGTCTGGATGATCATGCCAGGCAACGCGTACGAGCACTCGGCCGGCGGCCCCTTCATGAGAGACATCAACTCGCAGAGCACCGGCGACCAGGAACTGTACTGGTACATGAACAGCGGGCACGTCAGAACGGAGCCGTGGCGCTTCGGTCTCCTCGGCCCATACGCGATGCGCTTCACGTAAGATGCCGAACTCCCCCCTTTCTCGGAACTCACCGCTGAACCGAGACCAGAACCGGTGCGCAACCCTCGGCCGACCTGGACACCAGCTTCTTCGACGCCCTCAAGATCGACGGTTACGTCCCCGACAGCGGGCGCGGAAGCGTCTCAGGCACAGCCACGGGTGTGGCAGACAACTTCGAGACGGTGGTGCACTGGTTCAACAGCGACGCGCAGTACTGGACGAAAGCGTCCGGCGGCAAGTTCACCTCGCCGCTCATGAAGCCTGGGACGTACACGATGAAGCTGTACCGCGACGAATTCCCGGTCGCAGAGGACAACGTGACGGTCACCGCTGGCGGCAAGGTAACCAAGGACATGGCCTCCACAGAGTCGAAGCCGTCGGTCATCTGGCGCATCGGCGAGTTCGACGGCAAGCCGACGGAGCTGAAGAACGGCGACAAGATCGAGCGGATGCATCCATCCGACGCGCGCATGGAGAGCTGGGGAGGGGCGTACACGGTGGGCAAGTCGCAGGCCAAGGACTTTCCGATGGCGCTGTTTGCGAAGGCGGGCGGCGTGGCGACTGTCGACTTCAACCTCGCGGGAGACCAGCTGGACGGGGTGGTCCTCCGGGTGGGCACGACGCTGTCGTTCAAGGGCGGTCGGCCGTCGGCGAAGATCAACGACTGGCAGGCGAGTGACCCGGGTGCTCCGGTAAGTTGTCGACGGAGCGATGATGTTGTGGGTATGCTGACGACTCTGTGTAGACGTTGATCGATTCCAGAGGGGTAACTCGGGGCGCGTATCGTGGGTTTGGCGATGTTTACACGTGGGATGTGCCGGCCAGCGCGCTGAGACAAGGAGCGAACACCCTCACGCTTGGTGTTCTCGGGACGGGGGACACGGCGTTTCTGAGTGCGAATTACATTGTTGATGCGATTGAGCTCCAGGGCAAGGCGTATGCCGATAGCCCCAGGTAAACTAAGGATATTCAATGTGATGAATTCATGTAAGTGTTTGTGAGAAAGGCCTAGCCAGATAGTAAAGGGCCATCTCTTCCGTCCTCGCGGTGTAAGGCTTCAGCTGGTGACTTGCGCTGGCCGGGTAGAAAGTCGAATCCGTCAGAAGCCGATTATCTCAAACAGTAGAGTGGATTAAATGTTAAAAGACTCGTCCAAGTTGACGAAAAGAGTACCAGGGAGACTTGAGACGACCGAAAAAGAAAAGAGAAGACACGAAGGAAGGGATTCGAACCCAGAGGCTCTTGACGATGGTGGAGGTGAAGCCCAGCGCATTCTAAGGGCAGGTGCAGCGTCATTGGTGGGTCCGTCGCGTAAACCACGGGAGCGCAAGCAAGGGCGCCCGAGAGTCCGTGCCCGTCTTAGTCATGCTAGCTCCACCGTAACTTTTGGACAGCTTCGCGACTCCTTTTCACAACTGCCACCCGAATCGTGAACCCGGCAGAATCCAGGATCGCGACGAACCTCAGTTCCCAGTCACTCCTTTGCCGCCTTCAACTTCCTTTCGACGCAGCCGCCCATTGAAGAACTTTTCGGTCAGCCATAGCAGCCGCAACCATGACCCGCGCCCAGCAGACCATCTCCCTCGCGCTCCTCGTGAGCTCGGTACGACCCCTCCCTGGTATCCCACCTCGAACCCGCGAAGCAGTCACTGATCGATGAACCACGCAGCTCTACCTCGCCCTCTACCTCCAGCTCATTCCTGCCCCCGCCAAGGTGCAGGAGCAAATTATCCCCGTCGTACGTCTACAATTTTCCTCCCAGACCTGCAGCGCAGCTCGTCCGCGCCGTCAACCCCTGCGGCCACCTTGCGGAAGGCCACCTGGCTAACAATCATCACGCAGCTCCCCTTCTGGGCCCTCGTTTCCTTCGGCGCATACCTCCTCGCCCGACTCGGCTACAACGTCATGACCTTCAACGACGTCCCCGAGGCGCACAAGGAGCTGATGGCGGAGATTGACGAGGCCAAGGCCGACCTGCGGAAGCTGGGTGTCGATGTCGACTAAGGGACTACGAGGACAATGGATACCAAAATACCAAATGTACGCTTGCGATCGATGCGATTTATACAACAGGAATGGAGTCTCGGGGGTAGATATTGGGAATCAACTCAATTGATAGTGTTCACTTTCGCATACCTGAGAACTACGGGACCGGTTTACGACAATCAATGCATGCACGAGCGAGTCGCCAATGCTCTTGGGCGAGCTTCCGATATTCTTTGAGGGCACTGATGCGGTATCTTGGGTGAGAGGCTACCAAATGCATTCAATTCAGCCACCCACGGCCATCTATCTGATCTAGTCGAGGCAGCCGGTGGTCTGCAGCCCAGAAATCTCCAGGCAATCATTCTGGAAGTCGTTCTCCCTCGTCTCGTCGGCGACAATAATGCACTGTCGAATCGTGAGCACATGTCACCCCCTTGGCGAGCACATGCATGCAAACTTACCGCATTGCCTCCTACGTGTTTGTTAGCCGTCTGATCTGCGCCCGTGGAGGTGACCACCAAAACTTACTCATGAATCCTTGATCCGCACACGCCTGTGTCGTCCAGCCCACGTCGACCCGCTCCTCCATCGGAGGCGCACCCTCCGAAAGATCTTGCTTGGAGCAGAAACATCTTCTCTCGCGCTGCGCTACCACCGTCGCGGCCAGCAATGTGCTGCTCTTTAATTCAGCCTGGCACCCAGTCGGTGTTATGGAGACATGCTTACATGGAAGAGAGGATCTTGGCTGCGGATACCATCTTGACGGGTATCAATGCGTGCGGCTGAAAGAGCTAGACAGACAATTGTTGGATTGATTCGTGGTGATTATCGAACACTACGATCTGAAAAGGGCCTTCGCCTTTTAATATTCTATTCACGGTCAATTGACTTTTGCAGACACGGCCACTTTGCGACGTCGTCGACAGACGGTTTCCATGTCGCCAAGTCGCAGTAATATCACAAACATTTCGCACGCTCAATTACACTCCGTCATGGTACCGAAAACGAAATCACCAGCCGCAGAGGGCCTATTTACAGCGCGCCCCAGCGACTCGGATCGATCGCCCGCGTGGCGGTTCAGACGATGCCAAGGCCGGTCCAGCGCTGCGTGTCAAACCTTATTCCGACTTTGACGCATTGCGATGCCCTTGCTTTGAGTCAGACACGAGCTGGCAAGCTTGGTGAGTTTGAAGTCGGGATGAACCAGCCTCATTGTGCAGCATCGTCTGCCTTGTCTTTGCGATTGGTTGACGGTTGGTTCCATGCTTGACTTTGGAGAATTAGATCGGCATCTGAATCGATCTGGCGAGCAGCTTTCTACAGGCGACAATTAACACGTCTGGCGTGGCTGTGCCTTCTCTTCCCCAAATTGTTGCCGTGTCCTTGGCCGTGTCCTGGCCGTCGGCTTGCCCGAAGGATCGACGCAACATGCCGCCGGCAAGCATTGCCTGTACCCCATTGCTTGGGCTGCTGTAAACTAAAACACCTACTTTTTAAACCACAAAAAGCGAGTTAGACCTCGTGAGTCTGAGTTACCTAGTTCAGAACCTCAAGTAGTCTATTTGATCAAATGGTAGGTGGCTGCACTGTAAAGTGGCTGCCTTCAAACCCCACGATGAAGACAACAGGCCTGAACCACCCATCACTCAGCAGGAAGACCTTTTCCTTCTCAATTGCTGCTGCTTCAGACAGTTGGTCGAGTACCTTATTTTTTCAGGACAGGAAAGCCCGTACGTAACACAAATTCTCTCAATTGCTCCCCCGCGTTCCCGCACATGAGAAGCGACGTTGGGAACCATTAAATGTCCGAACATATCGTATCGAAAAGCGCCGAATGCGGGGTTAGCTGTGTGACTGAACCTGATCCCTGCAATGATGCAACCACGCATACCGTATCATTTCCAGCACCCTCCCTCTCCTCTCAGATAACGCTTCAACTGTCGAGGGGCCCTTTACTGATAATTACGTGGGGGCGAGAGCTCACCTCCGATTGGGGGTCATTGTTGCAGTCGGGCAACGTTATCGGCCAACTTGGAGCATCCGTTTACCGGAGGCCTGGATCATCGGCCGCCGTGCCCGTCTGCAGCCGGAAACATCACCACATCTTCGTCATATAGAAGCAAAAAAGGGCTGTGATTCTGCGAGACACACACCTCAAGCTCAACTAAGCAGCCCAATCGGTACCCCCTGCCCCATCTCATACCTCTACTTCCACCAGACCCCATCATGCCTGAACCGCCGTATCCCCTGCACCCGTCGGTCCTCGGCCGCATCAACCCCGAGTACAAGGACTTTTACAACAAATTCGTCTTTGACAAGCAGGTCGTGCATCACCAGCCCATTTCGGCGTCTAGGGCCAGCGGTACTCTTATCCCCGGTGCCGGTCCGAAGCTCGAGGTCGCGAGCGCGCAGGACTTTCACATCCCGCGCAAAGAGACGACCGGGCCCGATATCCTGGTTCGTGCGTTCACGCCTTTGGGGGAGAAGCCCGAGAAGGGATGGCCGTTGTGCATCTGGTTTCACGGAGGCGGGTGGGTGCTGGGAAACATTGACACCGAGAACGTAATTGCTACGAATTTGACCAACCGCGCGAAGTGCGTTACGATCTGCGTAGACTACCGGTAAGTTCCCCCGCGCCTTTCAAAGTGAGTTGTAACTAAGAACATCCCCAGACTGGCCCCAGAAGACCCCTTCCCCGCCGCAGTCGACGACTGCTGGGAATCCCTCCTCTGGGCCACCTCCGCCGGCGCCTCCAAACTCAGCCTCGACACCTCCCGCATCGCCCTCAGCGGCTCCTCCGCCGGCGGCAACCTCACCACCGTCCTGTGCCAGCGCGCCACCGCGCGCAGCGACATCCCCAAGATCGCGGTCCAGCTGCTCTCGGTCCCCGTCGCCGACAACACCGCCACCGTCGAGTCCGCCGCGCCGGAGCACGCCTCCTGGCGCGAGAACGAGTTCACGCCCGCGCTGCCGGCCGAGAAGATGCTGTGGTACCGCTACCACTACCTGCCGCGGCGCGAGGACTGGGCGCACCCGGAGGCGAGCCCGTTGCTGTGGGAGGGGGATTGGGCGAAGTTGCCGCCGGCGAGTATTGTGGTGGGCGAGCTTGATGTGTTGCGGAGCGAGGGCGAGGCGCTGGGGAAGAAGCTGGCGGACGCGGGGGTCGCGGTGGATTTGCATGTTATGAAGGGGCAGCCGCATCCGTTCATTGCGATGGACGAGGCGTTGGAGGATGGGAGGAGGGCGATTACGCTGTTTGTGGAGAAGTTGGTTGAGTTACTCTAGACTTTGAAGAATCGCCCAAGGATATAACGCTCTGAAGTTCCAATGATAACTCAACTCAATCAAAAGATCTAATGTTCACTTGCTCCCGGATGACTCTGACTAGAAAGTCAGGAAACGTTCATAAAGTCTTTTACAGAATTCACCGAGTGCATCTTCAGCGTAATGAGTTGTTGAAATCTTCGTCAGCCGTGGAAGTCTTTATTAAAAGATTCACTGAGACATTTGAGAGAACGACATTTCTGAACTTTTATTTTTATTACTAGATCTGCTTTTCAGCCCGTCAACTAGCTTACAACACAGCGATGCACTCAATCTCAACATCAACGTTGAGAGGCAGAGTCTTGACCGCCACGCAACTACACACAACTCATCAGTAAACAAAATCTCGAGCAGTAATCAACGATCAAGCAACTCACGTTCTAGAAGGCTTAATCTCGCCCCAGTATGTGCAGTAGACCTCGTTCATGGCCGCAAAATCGTCCATGTTGGCCAGGAAGACGTTCACCTTGACAACTTTGTCAATGGTGGTACCGGCACCCTCCAGGATCGCCGTAAGGTTCTTGATGCATTGGTGCTGCAACCACAGATTAGCTACATTCAATGTTCGTCGGGGGTTTCATGCACGTACGGTGTGAGCCTGGATGTCACCGTCGATGATCTTCATGGAGACGGGGTCCATGGGCACGGCGCCGGAGCAGAAGACCATGCCATTGGCGATGATGGCCTGGCTGTAGATGCCCGGCAGGGGCTTGGGGGCCTTATCGGTGAGGACGGGGGTCTTGGTAGAGGACATTGTTCTGGTTGCTGGTGAGATGATGGTGTGCTAGGCCGGGCAAGGGTTGTTGATGCAGGTGATAGATACTTGGGAGGTTGTGTTGGTTCTTTGACCATAGTAGTTAAAGGTCTCTCTTGAGAAACTCTGATTCTACATCAGACGCATGCTGCGCGCCGAATTGGCCCAGCAGCGTGTCCGTTGTCGGAATCGGAGTACTGCCCGCGGAGAATTGAGGTATGATCGTCCTATCAACTCAATTCCCCGCACGGGACTTGCATGATAGATGGTTCCCCCCCTTATCTCTTCTCGATATCTGTTGGCTGTGGATCTTGCCGTATGACACAAACCCCTAACCAACCTCCAAAAGTAACGTTAAATGAAGGATTGACTGCTACCGACAAGAACGTCCTCTGGGCCCATAAGCTTGTTATTTGCGACCCCCACGGAAAGGCCCCTCTTTAGTCGGTCCTCCATCGGTTCCTAATGCCGGTCTGATGAAGCTTCACTAGACTCCACCCACACCGACACGACCGTTGCAGGTCAAGCTTGAAGTCACGGGGCGATTGGGGAAAATGCGGGGTGGTAGCTGACCTTGAGAATACATGCATACTGCTCTCTCCCCGTTGCATGAAGGGTTTCGCCAGCATCCTGGACATGGCTTCCATCCGTTTGGCCGTCCTGTACGTGGTCAGCATTCGTCCAGGAATGCGACCGTCACGGGGCGTCAATCCCATCCAAGTACGCAACAGCCGGGAGCGTAGCTTGAGAGTTGAGACCAGGAAAAGAGCTTACTCTGCCGATCGACCTGGGGTCAAACCGAGCCTATCCCATCAGGAACAAGATATCCCTGAAATGTTCCTTGGAGAAGGCCCACTGCTAGTATCACCCTTATCTTTAGCTGCCTCTGCATACCCCAACATTACGCGCGAAAAGCAGCCGAGGAGATCCTGCCCTGCGTATTAGCCGACCAGCGTGATAAGATATGCTGTGACGTTCGACTTGGGGAAGCGATAAGCACTCCAATCGAGTGTGACCCCAAATGTGACTTTATCTACGCAGGCTGCCCTGTCTCGTTTCGTCCGGACATGCTCCCTCCTTCATCGCACGACGCCCAAAGCGCGCGACATATCGCCACCTTTGCCTCCTGAGCAAGCCGTTACGAGACGACTCCGATTCTCACCATGGGCGATGAGGCGGATAGCAAGATCACGCGGGCGGCCGACCGTGAAGGCTCGATCCGGGAGGGCTCCACGGACGGGAACGAGGTTGGGAATGATGGAAAGATCGACGCCTACGGCGACGAGGTGCACGTGGTCGACCACGAGGCGGAGCGACGATTGTGTCGCAAGCTGGACTTCCGACTCATGCCTGTGCTTGCCGTCATGTGTAAGACAGGCGCCAAGCGACCAGCACGTTGTTCGCGATCACTGACTTCCGCCATGCAGACCTGTTCAACGCCCTCGACAAGGGAAACATCGGAAACGCCGAGACCGACGGCATGAGCACTAATCTCGGCTTCAAAGACGGGCAGTACAATCTCATCGTCAGCATCTTCTTCGTGCCGTACGTCGTCGCCGCCCCGTTCGTCGCCTTCGTCGGCAAGAGGTTCGGCCCGGCGGTCATCCTCCCGATTCTCATGTTCACCTTTGGAAGCATGACGCTGCTCATGGCGGCTGTGCAGAACTTTGGCGGCGTCCTGGCGTTGCGATGGATCTTGGGCATGAGCGAGAGCGGCTTCTTCCCCCTGGTTATTTACTACCTGACGACGTTCTACCGCCGCGGTGAGCTCGCAAGACGATTGGCTATTTTCTATGCCGCGTCGAACATTGTAAGAGACCTGCTCTATTTCCCCAGGATAGTGACTGACAAAGGCTTTAGGCCAATGCATTCTCGGGACTCCTTGCCTTTGGTGTCTTTCACATTAAGAGCACGAGCCTGTACCCCTGGCGCTGGCTGTTCATCGTGGAGGGAACCGCCAGCGTTCTCTTCTCGATCTTCGCCTTCTGGTATTTGCCGCGGAGTGCCGCAGAGGCCAAGTTTCTCAACACCGAAGAAAAGCAACTCGCTTTCCACCGCATCCGAGTCGACAGTTCTTCGGTTGTTGGTGAGAAGATGAGCATCAAGGAGAGTGCAAAGGTCTTCAAGCACCCCAGTACTGTAAGAACACCCCAGATCATTTACGCGAAATTGGGTTTGCGTCTTCCCGCTGACCACTTGCTTGCCAGTTCGGCTTCCTTCTCATTGAGATCTGCCTTGGTGTTCCTCTCCAAAGTGTCAACCTCTTCATGCCCCAGATCATCCAGCGTCTGGGCTACAGCACCGTCAAGACCAATCTCTACACCGTCGCGCCGAATGTCACCGGAGCTTGCATGCTTCTCATTCTGGCTTTCCTCTCCGATTGGCGCCGCCTTCGCTTCCCATTCATCGCACTGGGTTTCTCTCTGACCTTCATCGGCTTCATCATCTACGCCGCGATCGATGATGTTGAGAGGCAGATCAAGCTGGCCTACTACGCATGTTTCATGATGACGTGGGGAACTTCAGCCCCCAGTGTCCTGCTGTCAACGTGGTACAACAACAACGTGGTGAACGAGAACCAGCGTACGTCATCCATCAGCTACATTTACTCGCCAAGAACTGACTTGAAAATCCCAGGTGTATTCTTGACCTCGATTGGTGTTCCGTTGGCAAACCTCATGGGTCTCGTTAGCAGCAACATCTTCCGCAAGCCCGATGCGCCAAAATACGCACCTGCACTGATCACGACAGCCTCATTTGGTGGCACCGGTATTCTTTGTGCCCTGTCGCTAGGTTGCTTCATGATTTGGGATAACAAGAGGAGGAACAGGGCGCAGGGTGTCAACCTGACTGCTAGTGATGTGCCGACATCCAAGCTGAACGATGGGCCTAAGAGCCCCGACTTCAGGTGGTTCCTATAGGATTCAAGGATGCAGTCTCAGAGATGTTGGACTAGTATTTAAGATACACAATTGGAAAAGGCTTCATGTACCATGAATGTCTGATCGACTCATTCACACAATTGCCACTGACAAAGACCCTCGCCTGCCCACTAAAGTGGACCAGAAAGCGAGCTTGTGCAGATGAATATGATCAGGTTGAGACCTTCGTTGCTTGCCCTAGGTATGCGAAATCTAGTACATCTGTTTTCCAACTGTCTTGTCGTCCTAATTGATCCGACCTGTTCCAGCCACCGCTCTGGCGTGTCACGCGGTATCTGATCAGCGAGTAACAAGCATCAAAGGTCCATCTGAGTGTTAACCAATCTCAACTGCAAGCTAATATACTCTATCTGTGCTATTCTTTCCTAGGTATTGTGTTCTCATGCCCTCTTCATTCTCCCATGCGTCTTCAGATCACCTTTCTGAGAATCAAAGGCCTATCCGATGAGTCGATCTTCATCACATCAATACTATTTCACGAATATTCTCTTTGCCGCCCCAAAGACTTCTTAACTTGGCTCGATATGCTTCCTTCACAGATCTAATGCTGGCCTGATCAGTAGATCCTGACGCTAGTGGCTCCGTTCGGGTATGTTGTGAGTCCCACCAGCCAACACGAGACCATCTGTTCTTCTCTTCCTCCGCTACTATGATTCCTTCCAGAATTGACCAACCGGTTTGGACGACAATGAGTGCGCTCAACTTTGAAAGAGAGTTCTGCTGCAATCTGGGGTCGTCGGGATAGTCAATCACTGCCGGCATCTCCATCCCCTCAACAATGATGACTGGTATCCCATTTTCAGCACTTATGGTTGGAAGTGGAATCCCTATCATCAAGCCACGTACACGAAGGTCGCCCTTCTTGACCTCACCAAATGGCGCATCCGCAGATACGAGCTGAATATCATGACTCAAGATTTCGAAGTCTGGATCTTTCTGTTTTTCGAGATGCGTGTTTATCCATGTGACATCGTCATCATAAGCTGACCAGCTCCATGTCGGTTTGGGCCTTTCGACAGGGCCAGTACGTCGGACTGGGTTCTTATTGTCAATTTGAGCGAATTGTGAAGACCACAAGAGCCCCGATGGTAGATCTGATTTCCAAATACCGCAGATATACTCGTCTTTCAGAGCCACCGCAAACTCCTGCGCTATTGCGGATATTGCCGGCAAGCGGTCGCTCTGATAAGTTACTTTTCGGGTGCAATACATATCCACAAGCTCACACCAGTATTCGAGAAGCTCACTGGAATTGAACTGGGCATCACCAGGGTTCTTGAGTATTTCCATCACATCCGAAAAGGTTTCTTGCTCCGCAATGCCATAGCCAGGATGTGTGTGTGCCTTTCCGATAATCCAGCCATCGCAATGCTGGACAACTTGTTCTCCACAATAGCAACTCCATGTCGTTCGATTATTCAGATACTGAAGGCGACGTCTTGAGAACAAGAGTTCCTGGAAGGTCCAAGCTCTAGTATACCACGGCTCGGGGTAGTTGAAGTGGTACGGCGTGAGAAGGATGGGGACGTGTACATAGTGTTTCCCACGCTTTCCGTATGCCTTGATGCTGAACATGGGCTGAGGCGCCGTCATATCTCTTGCCGGTCCAATGGTCGCATGTCGATCCCTGAGAAATCCTTGCTTCACGTCTTTGGCTGCCGATGCAATGATTGTGAAAGTAGCACACTGGTAAATGTTTCCCATTTTCCCCAGCTCTTTAGCTTTGAAGTCGTAATCGTCTTGTATAATGCAGAGGGCATCAATCCACAAAAATCGGAAGTTGAGTTCCCTGGTAGCTTTCATAGCGTCCTGGATCGTAGTATCGAAGTGATGTAGCTCTAGTCCCGACATGAGATCGTTCTTATTGCCGAGTTTCAGCATCGTCTTCTGCATACCGACTCCCCAGCAGTACGAGAGCGCGATGTATCGCTCCCTCAGACCTTGAGTGACTGAGACCAGTTTGACTTTTTTTTTGCAGGAAACATCCAGGAGAAACGATGGCATAGATGAGGGTAAATCCTTGACACCACAGTTGTGGTCAATCTCGCATTTCCTCAGCCAGTGCCGGATCAGAGCCATCGATCCCAAGCTGCTCGGTGTTACGTTGGATGGAGAGCCGACGTAAGTCTGTCTGGCATCTCCGAAGTCTCCTAGTATCGCTCTTCGGTAAGCAGTTGGTCACTCATGCATGATGTGCAGCTTACTTACCTGGAAGTCCCAAGGCAAAGAATGACACCCAAAATGAAATCCATCTCACACTCTTGAATCGTTCTCCAGCTGGGTTAGGCCGCATAATGATGTTAACATCCACTTTTGCTGACTGGTCGTCATAGTCTCCTGGGTTGTCATCGTCGATATTCGTGTAAGCCACTAGGATTCTCACGAAGTCCTCTGCTACATCTGCGGCAACTGCCCCGACTGATTCGTCGTCGCGTGATGCGGACCGCCAAGGTAGTTTCCTCATGACTTGACATAGTCGTTGATACTCTTTCACCTGATCTTCTCCTATAGAAGCTGCGAGGGCTTCGTAGTACACGTTTGACCAACGCCCATCATACTTCTGAAGGTCGTACTCAACTTTACTACATTGCTGCTCCAGCCCCACCTTAAACGCTTCGAACTCCAGGCGCTCTTGGATCATGGTCCAGAAAGCGCACCCGGATGCTGCCATCTTTTGGACCTTACTGGTAGTCACGTCGAGCCGAAAATAGTCTTTCGACTTCGTAAAAGCGCGCTGGAAAGGCTCCGGAAGTGGCTTGACCAATATGCCGATGCACTTGTCGCAAGAATGACCCCTTGCATTGGCCGCCACAATAGCTCGCTTCAAATGAAGAATCTCGTAGTCGGTCTCGGAGGGAGGCCCCTGGTTACCTCTCTTCTTGGTCCTCATTGTACTCGAATCTCGAGCATCTCAAGATACTTGGCACAGTCTGTCGTAGACCTCGATTCCAGCCCGGCGATTGATCTGGTGCATTTCAGGTATGTCAGATCGAGGATGGCGGAATCAGGCTATCTCCCCTGTGCTCGCTGAGCACATGATGTATGATCACAGCCAGGCTGGCCAATGGTTGAATATGCGGGGCGCTTCTGCCTAGATTAACCTACATGATGTCGTCAAATGCTCGCCATTGATTGTCGACCCACACACAATGGGAAAAGACACATAGCGAACTTTACCGAGTGCATGGGAGAGTCAGAGGTCAAATTGCAGCTGTAAGGATCCAGTATTCCCCAAGGCCGACGGCAAGTCCATCATTGTCAATGTAGCTCTATGCACCCGTAGTCTGCGCAGGATTTTCAAGTCCACCGCCCTCCTGCTTCTTCATCTCCCGTGTGAGAAGATAGACCCAGTATCCACAGCCCCCGTACTTGGTATCGTCCTGATAAGCTTTGTGAACTTCTTTAAATCCCTGCTTCTTGTAGATGTTCACGGCAGCCTCGAATGACAAGATGAAGACATCAGCTCCTATTTCCTCGGCAAGTCGTACACCATGCTGAACCAGAGCAGCAGCAACACCCTTGCCCGTGTTATCGGGATGAACAGCCAGGTAGTCAAGACCTATATCACGGTCAGACTCCATCACACGATGAGGAGCCGGGAATCGTCAACTCCCCGATGGACACTCTTCACTTACTGATGTACCTGCCCTCAGCCAAGATACGCTTCTTCTCGGGGCCGCAGTCATTGATGCCGTCCATGCTGTAGGGCTTCCACCATGCGCCGTCGCTTCGTTCCTTGATGGCTTTCCTCTCCTCCTCGCTTACATCGGAAATCTGCGCATCTGCCCATTCCGGTGCATCCGTGTATTTGGCGGGCAACTCCCAGCGTGCGTAGCCCACGAGAGCACCCGTCTCGGGATCAACTGCCTTGAAATGACGCAGCGTCTCGCGATTCTTCAGGAGATTGTTCGGCATGCGCTTGATAACTTCGCCAATGAGAAAATCGAGTTCGATGTTTTGAATCGTCCAGCCGAGTTTCCAGTTTTTGTCTGTCGCCCAGAAGGCGCTCATGTTGTTTCGCGCCAGAGCTGGGGCGTCGGCGAGCGTGCAGGGCACAATCTTCCAGGACACCATGATTCTTGGGTGGATGAACAACTACTCCAACAGGCTGCAGAGTTAATTCGTTGTGGAAGCTTTACCCAAAATCAACCTTTTGATAGAGTTTCGATCGAGCGCGACGGGACGGATCACCATAAGTGCTCTTTATCGCGACTTTTTATTATTTTTTAAGAGACGTTCACACACGCTGCGCTCTACGTGGCTTATTTGAAGCCCTGCCGGTTATCCGAACTGGGATGACGCTGCGGAATATGACACGTTTACGGCCAGTCTCCTTTTGGTAGGCAGGAGGCCTCCCGTCCCATGAGAACACATCTCCCCACGACGATCTCGAAACAGCCAGCTTCTTAAATGGCGCGTGACGAAACTGATTCCGTTCAATACGACATCTCTTTCTGGCATAATTTGGTGTTTTTGGTTGGACTGTTGTTTTCCCCGAGGAAGCCGTATATACACAAGCGGGCCATCAGTGACATCTCTGACACTTGGTTTGGGACTTTGGCATCGCGACCCCACAGCCAAGCTTCAAATCAACCTAATTTCCACGCGTAAGCACTCAAAGAAGCTTTCGAAATTGACTATCACGGAAGCTTGCGGGGGATCTGAGTTCATAGATGGAAGCACACGCCCGGAGATCGGCATCAGCATACGGGATACAATGCCGATGGTAGTGGGGCCGGCCCGGTTTCTTACACGAGAAGATGCCCGACCTTTACAAATATTGTCAAATACTGTCATTGCTTTCATAAAAGCCGTTGCATTTGAATTCTTCATTGAAAATGGGACACGTAAATAAGGAATGGTCTAAGCTGAGTGTTTGAAGAAGTCGGCCATAGTGCCAACTGAGCCGAAGGAAACGAGACCAGCCGCCAGCGCCCGAGCCTGAGCTCATTGTATCTAAATCCATTCTAACTTCCCTTTAGATTTATCAGGGACAAAAGGAATCTTCAAATCGCACGGTTGTAACCCGAACGGCCATCTGTCTCCGCAGCTTTGTTGTACCCAGACCGACCGTCCTCCTCACGGCGGTTGTAGCCAGATCGACCGTCAGTCGAGACAATGGAATCTTCACCATCGCGTCTGTTGTAACCTGAGCGTCCGTCGGTGCCGATAACAGTGTCAGTCTCTGAACGTCGGTTGTACCCAGAGCGGCCATCAGTAGTCATCCCAGATCCCGCCTCCTCACCACGTCTGTTATATCCAGACCGTCCGTCAGTAGTCACAGAATCAGCGCCCTCTTCCCTGCGGTTGTATCCGGAGCGACCATCAGTCGTGACAATACCGTCTGCCTCAATATTCCGACGATTGTAACCGGAGCGGCCGTCGGTCGTAACAACACCGTTTTCAATACCGTTGTAGCCAGATCGGCCGTCTTCCTCCTCACGCTCGTTATACCCAGAGCGTCCATCTGTGGCAAAAGCTGCGTCGTCGTTGTCATTGCGACGGTTGTAACCGGATCGACCGTCAGTGGTAACAGTGCCCTCTTCAACACTGTTGTATCCAGATCTTCCATCTGTCTCTTCCCGCTTATTGTATCCAGAACGACCGTCTGTAGAGACAAGAGCTTCGACGTCGTCGGTGCGAATACGGAGACCCGAGTTTTCTTCGTTGACAGCGAGCATCGCTTGTGGGCTCTTATGGTTTCCAATCACGACTAAGTTGTTGTTGATCTATCAGAGTTAGCATGATAAGTCTTACATGTTTACTCCGTTGCTTAAAGCGGGAAAAGACCATCAGCTTACCGACGACAAAAGACTGTCAATTCTGAAGAATTCAACAACCAAGGCACATAAAACCAAGGAGATAATGACTGCGCCAAAGGCAGAGCGACGCCCATTGCAACGGTTGTTTGAGGTCGGGGCCGACACATGGGTCGGGAGAATAGAGCCCTTTTCCATGGCTGGCTGATAGATTATAGTGTTGATACGATGTGTTTGTATGGATGAAGGAAACGGGCTGTGTCGATTGAATCAAACGAGACTTGACTGAGTTGACGAGATGAGAAGACGTTATGTTTGATTATTTCTACAAGACCATTAGATCGTGGAAGATGATTCATTATAAATATTCTTTCAAATAACAGGCTACCACCAGTTACCACAACGAGGCAATCTCATACGAAGTCAGCGTATGGGGGCAATTAGTGAGGCACAGCTGAAGACCCCATCACTATTGCGCCCGAGTAGCCAAATGACACAGCCTCCAACAGTAGCCCCCATGCAGGCTGGACTCCAAATCGTGGTCTGCGATGACATCTTTCGGTCATGCCGTAAGGCAGCAACATTTGTTCAGTACTTATGGAACCGACCGATGAGCATGCAGAAACTGTGAGACGCCCCCAACCCAAGCGCCCAGTGAGGTAAATGTAAGATTCGCCAAGCTGTGAGGTCCAATACGCCACTTTTTCCCACCAAGATCCTGGGCCCTGGCACCAACAGCACCAACAGCGCAACTTGTCGCCTTCTCGGGCGGACGACCCCCGTTGAAGAAAGCGCCAATCCCAGTTGCTTGTCGACCAGGATTTGCGCCTCTTGACAGGCTACCGGATCGGGATCTGATTGGGTGTGTCGGATTTTGCTCACCGGGGGCCAGGCCCGGCTCTGAACAAGGCATTGTAATAGTGCGATAGCGCCAGCTTCCAACGAACCAACAGTGAAATCCAGCAGTATTCAGGGTACCTGTCTATCGGCCCCCAAAAGTCCTTCCAAGACGTGTGGGGGCTCTTACTGATGATCCAAGTAACATCACTGTTTGACGACTTACGATGCATGATACGACGACACCGAAGGCGGCAACGTCGCATTTTTGGGGGGGTTCGGCGCCAAGACGCAAGTGCGAGTTTACCCACGTGCTGCGCCTGGTAGACATGTGCGGGATAAGCCCATCGTCATGCAGGACGACCTTCAGCCGGCGCGGGCTAGACTTGTTAGGGAAATGCGCGTAGTTGCCAATAAGATTTGTGGTGGTAATCCGGGCGAACTGCAACATTTCTCGATCCTGCGTCCTTCAGCCCTATGGAGATCGAGACTTGGTGTTACCGGAAACTGCAACTGCTCTCTGCAGGCTACGGTGGATTAGAGAAGGGGTTCCGGTGTGATATGTCTTACTGGTGATTGGCAGGGTTTGGGTGCGTCGACGCCAAGGGTTGGCAGGCAGACAGTGTGATGAGAAAGATGGAACAGTCATTTGCCTGGGCTTCACCAGGCTGTGTGCGAAGAGATTCCCCTTTTGGGGATCAGGCATGGTATTGTGAGCCATGAAAAACTTGGAATCTGCATCGAATTAAAAACAAATGGTATCTTCTCCGAAAATGGTCAAATCCGTTTAATACGGTACATAACATCCTCCTCCGGTACATGCACATATGACTACACGTTTGGAGGCTTAGACGGCGTCTGGGGCGACGATATGTCATCCATATCGAGGTTGTCCAGGTCATCAAACTCGCTCAAATTGTGCGATAATGTAGACCTCTTACTCCTGGGTGTCATGTTCGAATTGGCGCTTCCTGTGAGGGCCGAGCTGAGACGCTTCTTCTTTTCTGATTGCCCAAGAATGAATCTGACAAAGAACTGGCGCAAGTTGGGTATGCAGGCTGTGAATACTCCCACATAAAGCTCAATGTCGGACCAGATCACACTTGGCATCATGGCGACTGCATGTGTTAGTTTTATGGAACGGCACACTGTGTTGATTTGGCTTTGGCACATACCAGTCGGATTCAATGGGTACTTCTTGAACTCCAAAATCTGCGTGATGCGATAGCAGCACACCACAGTAAGGCTTGGCAATGTCAGTCAAGGTGGCCATCTTGAGTGGGCAAGCTCGCGGCAAGTACTCACAATAAGCCGAGCCCAAACATGAACATGATGGCAAACTTCTTCCTTGTTGCCAGATTCATGTTCCAGATTTGCGTCGCCGGTATGATGAGCATCCAGACATCCAAGGCGATGTTGATACCCGCATGTGCGAGGGCGAGCTGCACAATATCAATGCACTTCCCCGTTGCCTCTCCCGTCCAGAATGTCCAAGCCAGGCTTATGGGCTGGCATTGAAATAGGCCAACAAAGATGAAGATGAGTCCATTCAGGATATTGAGAATCAATGTGGCCCAGAGAACAATGCGCACCTTTTCGCCGGGCAGGTGGAAGATTCGGAGATACATGAAAAGAATAGAGGCTTTGATCAGGTCGATACAGGAGTGGTAGAGGACTTGGAGAGCATAGAAAGCCTGAAGGTTGTCAGTCCGGTGATTTAGCCGGAAACACATGGGCGAAGTACCTTGAAGAAATTCATGATCTGACGTTCGTTCAAGGTCCAGAGGTCTTTTCCAGCTCCATTATTTTCGACTAGAAATTTTGTCAGCGCAATCTGCAGCGGATGCAAAACAGCTGGCGACTTACGGTAAAAGTGTAGCGATACGTATCCGAGTAGAATGATCTTTTGGCATTTTAGTCATTTTCCGATGAATCCTCATTTTCCAGCTTCAACTTACGTATGATATGAGAATGGTGTAGTCATCCCAGCCCCATGGCGAAAGTCTTGCAAACTTCGTGACGACTCGGAGGATTACGGATAGCGTGGGCAGAATGGCGAACAAGACAATGCGCACGATCTTGGTAGCCTGTACTTCGTCGTTTAAAGGAAAGTCGCAGGCAGTCCAGGTGATGTTCTGCGTTTCTGGGAAACGTTAACAAGAGCAACGGAAATTGACAATGTACTTCTTTAGAAATCCATACCTAGGGCGCCTTTTAGCGGGCAGCTTACGAGGGAACACCCCTCTATGTATTTGATGTAATCTCCATCCTGGCAAAGACAGCTTTGGTCTCCGGGAGAACAGTTTGTCTGATTCAGTCCGTTAAGCAGACATGGAATCTTCGATAAAAGTCAGCGGAGAAGTCTTTGGCGACGCAGGAAATTGTACTCACAGCGCATGGTGGGTTGTCGTCGAGAGATAGACCAGGGATATCGGGAAGGTTAGTCGGTGCGGGGGGCCGTTGAGCGAGGATCGTCGTCGCGGAAAGAGCGAGCAAGGCGGGGAAGAGACTCGTGTGCATTTCGATGAAGGGTTAGGTCGATGTGGCTCCGACCGAGCGATGCTTTCAAAATGTCGTAATACTTCGATATCGTCTCCGAGCCCAACTCTGATAAGCCACTTGTTTACGGACGTTTGTGAAGCGCCAAGAGCGTCAGAATAGTTGCATCAAGATGACGTTCCTATATATATCGCGTGGGAAAGCACTCGTGATAGAGATAAACCTCCTTCACGAGGTGGGCTCTTTTTGTTAAAGGACCTGCCTCCGCCCGTCCGTCCTGCGTGGCTTGCGAGACATTAATGAATCCAGCCATGCTCAGAGACCCGATTGCAGTGGCCTGAGATATGGTTCCGGGCCCCGTGTCTTGGTGCGGCATTCTCCATCGCTCAGGAACTGGGCGTAGGGTGGCACCGGATGGGGTCTCGATTGATGGCCTGAGAATGAATTGGGTTTGGCGCAGTCAGCCGAGACCCTTTATTCGGGTGATCTGTTGTAACGTTTGCGGATGTTCCAGGGCTGAGGCGGCTTACATACTCTCGGCGCCTCGCGCTATTCACGCGAAGATATCCGACCGACAACGATTGCCCCTCAAGCCACATACTGACCGCATCGTGGCGAAGGGGCGCAGGCTGATTGAAGGTCAACGGAAAGGGAGACTAAGGAAACTGTTTGGCTTCATTCTTGTTCGGTTCATTTCACAAATTCAGCCTTATCCACATCTTCTAGAACCGGTCTTGGGAACTCTTTGAGCATTCCCGATGGGTATAAAAGCCTGACGATCTGTCGGCAAATCGTCAATCATCAAGACCAGCAATACCACCGATCATCAATACCAGCATTGAAGGCCATGCAGCGTAGCGCTGATGGAAATCGGAAACAAGTCTATGAGTTCGCTGATGGGAATCTATGACCATAAAACTCCGGCTGGTCAATGAGACGAAGGAGAAAATGAAAAAGAGGTGGTAGGCCAAGTACCGTAACTCCTCAGCCGCCCACCGTTCCCTCTTTCTCATGCTGTACTTTCAGCTTTTTCTCCGTCTTCATAAACTCGCGAATGCCAACCGGAATATCCCCATACAGCTTCTCGTCCCACATGTCTTTGGCGATCTTGGGGTCTTTCGGCACCCAATTTGCTTCTGAACCGCCGCCATCGTCGTCCATGCTCATCGTATCCGCGACAGCTTCTCCCTTCTCTTCTTGCTGTTCCCTCAACTTCAACTGCGCCTCCGCGTTCGCTGCCGACCATTCTTCCATCTCCTCCCTAAACCGGTCCCAAACGCAATTCACGCAGCCGCTCATACAGCAATTATCAGGCTCCTCGGGTTTTGGGGGTATTACGACCCCTGCGACCGTCGTACTCCTGGCGCGCATTTCCTCGAGGCGCTTCTTGCGCTCGGCAGGCCCGGCGAGGGCGGAGCCGAAGACGATGGCAGCCTTCTCAGCCGCTGTTTGCGGGGGCGGCGTCGGCACCGGCTGTGCGGAAAGAGCTTCAGCAGAGGGTTCCGGGTGGGACGGGGAGAGAGGCGAGGTCTTACGGCCTTGCTGCTCCTCCTGCTTGGTGGCGGAGGACGAGGGGGGTTCCTCGGGCTTCACATCGGGGATCGGCTGGGGGCTCGTGAGGATGGACTCGTAGTAGGCGCCCAGCGGGTGTGCTTGGGGCTTGGAGGGCTCGATCGGGTCGGGGCCCGTCTGGGCTTGGATGGTAATGAAGGCATTGCGAGGAGGGCGCGCAATGCGAGGCACCAAAGGCCTGAGGCGAGGGAGGAGTCTACCGGGCGTCGACATTTCTGCTGGTGTTCTGTATCGAAGGTCCTTGGTCCAATTCAAGGGTTGGAATGGGAGAGTTGGACCTTTTGGTGGCTGCTGAGTGACGCAGGACGCCGACCTGGTTCACTGCAGAGCCGAAAAGGAAGCGGAAGCGGTCGACTGGAATGCGGTCATAGCCGCGGACGTCATCGGTCTGGTATTTCTGCTTATGTAATGATGGCGGCATACGATCACGTGGTGACTTGGACTGAGCCGGCCATTCAAGTTGACGTTATTTCGAATAATACCAGGACCAAGAGCATATCAGAAACATTTTATCGTGGATCATGTTTTTTCTCATTCTGATCCAAATGTTATGGAAAATATGATAATTCGTCCGAAAGCTGAAGGCGCTGGAGAAATGTCCTCGATTCGCCCGACATCAGACGCACCCCAGACTTAGATTGGCTAGGTAACTAAGCTCGAGGGGGGAAGTCTACCGCAAGTAGGCATGGCACATTTAAATCTTATAAATTGAGATATACGAGACTATTGGCTTGTTTATTCTTACCACAAATATCTCAGCTTGCAGAGTGTGTCTAAGATATCCACCTTGCGGATGAGAGTTCTGCAAGAAGAAACAGAAGCGAAGGTTCTCAGTAGAGATGACCTGATTCAAGCTTATTGATAAAAGCCAGAGGCTCCATAAGTATTGCAAAATTATTTGATTGATATTCGTGATTGCTAGCGAAGCAATCTCGTCAAAAAACATGAGTGGTCTCATCTCAATCATTCCGGGCTGGGATCTCAGTTCTAAGGCACCTAGCCAACTCAGTAATGGATTACATGCTGCTTGAAATTGAGCGTCCAAATGAGAATTCTTTCTCACACTACGTAATCTTTGCTCCTCCCATCCTAGTTTATATCTGAGAGCGACCGAAAAGACGTTTTGCGACGGTCTGCTTTCGTCCTTTGCCATGTGTCCTCTTTGCTTTCATTGATTTTACCACGACAGTTTGCATAGAGTTATTGTTCGTTAACATTCTGAGCCATTCAGGCTCATGCAGGAGTAAAAAAGCCTTCATCTTCGGGCCCGGTGGAGGCATCGTCCAGCATCCTGCAGAGCTCATCAATCACATTGAAACCGTCTGCTTCAACAAGCGATGAGAGGACCGTCGCTAGGTCTACGACAATGTAAACCTGTGTACCAAATCTCCCGACTGCTTGCTCCAAGAGTTTCAGTCAATCTTCTGGCTTCTGCGCAGTATGAAATTGCGAGTATCGAGTCGACAACTCTTTTTCCGTCTTGAGGGAACCGCTCCACCGCAACGCCTGGTACGTGAGGTACTTGATCAGAGCTACCGCCGTTGACATGGAAGCATGCTTCGATTTCTCTAAGCTGGGCAACGCCCACAGAGTCGGCACCTCGTCGGATGCTAAAGTTTGAATGACGTCAATGCTGAAGTCTACCATGGCAGACCGCACGCTAAAGGGGCCTCTGATGATAATCAAGGAAGATTGATGGCTTAACGACCATTTCGTGAGTCTAGAGGATAACTAAAACTGATTCGTTGAGATGTTTGCGCCCCTGCCAGAGGCTCTGCAGTTTTAGCACATGAGATGATACTTGTAGCAATATTCCAGATCCTCAAAAGTCGACAAAAGGGTGGTCAACACTTACGACAGCAACTTCTCCTCCTTTATATTTTTCTTAGTATATACTATTAGTATATCACACTAACCCACACTAATTATACTAACACCACCTATTTTCCTCCTTTTCTTTAGCTATAGCTAAAGATAAGGAAATAGCTAGTACTAAGCCTCTAGTTACGCTAGTAATATAGTTCTAGCCTATCCTACTACTTATAAGGCTATAGCTACTAAATACTACTACTATTATAGACTTAAGCCCTTTTTAATAACTTCTTAAAGAGGTTTTACTATCTAAAACTAAGAGAAAATAGGCTATATAGAACCTATTACTAGATATCTTTAGAAGTATACTACTACTACTAAACTACTAAAAGGTAATATATAATATATCTATATAAGGACTAATAATAAACTAAGGCTAAACCCCTACTATATAGAAGTTAAGTAAAATTACTCACCTTTAGGATATATTTAACTATATTAGAATAGCCCTTATTAATAGCCTCTAAGTATATCTTATAGTACTAAGAGTAGAGGAATAATACTATAAAGTAACTAAATACTTTAAGAAGATCCTTATAATAGCTCTCTATTATAACTTCTATAGATAATAATTAGAATTCACTAACCCTACTAATAACCCTACTATTAGAAATATTAGAATTAGAGGAAACTTAATTAACCCCTAGCTAGAAGTAGCCTAATATACTAACTATAGAAATAATAAATAAGGTATTTAAAGCTTAATAGTAACTTATAATATATAGCTTAGTTAAAGCTAAGTTATAGCTTAAAATAGAGTTTAATAACTTAAGAATATTAAACCTATAAATAATAGACTTTTTATTAGAATCCTAAAGGATACTAAATCTAGGAATATATACCTATTAATAGTCTATAAAGAGATTAAGGTATATTATAAACTATAGAGTAGTAATATTATAAAAATAACTAGGATTTAGATTAATTTTACACTTACTCTAAACTCTAATAGAGCTTAATAGAGAATACTTAATAGTAGCCTTAAACTACTTAAACTACTTAGTATAAATACTATTAAATAACCTAAGACGTAAATTATATATATAGTTTATAATATCCTAACTATAACCCCTAACTTTAGAGGAGAACCTATTAATATAGAACTAATCCTCACTAATAAGGTCCTCTAGTAGTTAAAACTTAAGCCTATAAAGTGTATAATAGCTACTTACACTAGCAGATAAGCCTTATAAACCTAAATTATCACCTTTAAAAAAATACCTCTAGTTAAGTAGTTTGCTCTATAGGATAGTAACTACATTATTAAGCTTAAACTAAAGATAAATATTAACTAATACTTAAAGTGCTTTAATTAGTATAAGTTTAGATTATACTAAAAAAACTAATACTACTATAACTATAGTTTAGAAAGAGTATATAAAAACTATTAACTCTTAACCTAATATACTAATTATAAAAGGGATTATAAGAGTACTAATAATAAGTACCTACTAAAGCTAAAGAGAGACTATAATAAAATTATATATCTTACTAAAGCTTAGAAGAAGAATATTATCTAAAAAAACATAAAAGCTAAGAAAATTATAGAAGAAAATAATACTATAAGATACCTTATAAGATAAATATAATATATATCACTAACTAAAATATAAAGCTATAACTATTTTTTGCTATTAGTTAAAAAAGTAGAGTTTAATATCTTTAAAACTTTAAGAGAAGATTACTCTAAAAGTAGTACTACTCCTACTCCTATAAAGCTTAGAACCTTAATTACCTCTTTACTAAATAAATAGAAGACTTATAGTCTTTTAAGTAAATATTACTAGATGTTTAGATATATATAGCCTTATACTATTATATAGGTATAAAACTTATACTAACCTAATATTTATATAGAAGCCCTAGGTCTCTATATATACTAACCTTAATAAAGGACTAAATAAAACTTATATAATTACTAGATACTTACTATATAGCTTAAAACTTACTTAGATATACTATAATAATTATCTATAAGTTCTTATATATATTAAAAATTCATACTAATATCTTAATATAACTTAAATCACACCTTAGCTATATTAAGATATAATAAAACTTACTATTAATAATATTCTTTACCTTAATATCTATAGAGATAGTAATAAACTATACGTCTTAACTACACTTAAGTAATAAACCCTACTAGCTAAATTATTTATAGTAGGAGATTTTAACGCTATATACCTAGCGTAGTAGCTAAGTGCTAAACTAAATATAGAAGTATTATAGTTCTAATACTAAGTTAAATAATATAACCTCATAGTTATAAATAACCCTAAAAAGCAAACATATAACGCTAAAAATATTCTTAACTTTATTATAATAAACCTACTATTAATTAAAATATAAGTATTAAGCTACTAATATATAAGCTTAAATTACTATATACTTATCTTAGTAGTTTCTAATATACTAAATCTTAACACTAAACTATAAGTAGCTAATATACCTAAATACTACCTACCTAGAAATTACACTATACGTTTTATAGAAGAGATTAAGGACCTTTTATAGGTCTTTAATTTATCCTTAGAAACTAAAGATAATCTTAATAAACTTATAAGAGATATTCTTATAATTTTCTATACTATATTAGTAGTAGCTAAAAAGAAAAGAAACCTAAGGAATACCTCTATCTACTAGTAGAATAATAAATACTATAACTTTTAGAAGGATTATTATATATTAAGAAGAAGGGATAAATACTTAGAGGAAACTAAAGAACTTTAAAAGCTTTTTTATAAAGCTATCTATAAGGCTAAGATTATATAGTAGGCTAAAGTAATAGAGGGCATTAAGAATAATAAGAACTTCTTTAAGATTATAGGTTAAGTAAAATATAAAACTTAATTTAAATCTCCTCTTCTATAGAATAAGGAAAACTATATTTATATACCTACTAAGAAAGTATACTTCTTATAGAGTAAACTCCTTAAATATATTACTAAATATATTAAGGTTAACCTCAATATATTAGTAGTACTATAATAAGTTATTCCTTAAGATAATACTATCCTATAAGAAGAGGTTTAATCTACTATACTTAAAGTAAGTAATACTATACTAGGAGTTAATAGAATTATAATAGTAATACTTTAGGTAGTATAGCTATACCTATAATATATTATTACTATACTTTACTAGTAGTATATAGAGATTAAGTATCACCCTAAAATCTTCTATAATACTAAAGTAGTAATAATACTAAAAGTTAGTAGAGATGTTAGTACCTTAAAAGGCTAGCACTTAATTTCACTATTATTAATAATTAGTAAGGATCTAGAGAGACTCTAAGCAAGAAGAATAGCTAATACTATAGTCTAATATAAGGTCTTATACCTATAGGTTATAGGAGTACTACTAAAAAGATCTAAAATAGATATAGTTAGCTTACTTATATATAATATTAAGGTAGTAATAAATAGATAACTTATATATATTTTAATTACTATAGATATTTAAAGCGCCTTTAACTTAGTAGTTTATACTTATCTCTACTTATATATAAGGGAATAAAGCTAACTACTAAATCTAATTAGATAGGTTAAGTTTTTTACAACTTAAAGATAAGTTAAGGTATACTTTAAGGGCTATACTATAGAGATAGAGCTACTTAAGTATAAGCTACTATAAAGCTCACCTACTTCTCTTATTCTTTACTTTATCTATATAACCTTAATCTATAAAATTAGGCCTTAGGAGTGTAGATTTAGTTATATAGATAACTATAGAATCCTCTATATAGAGAAAACCTTAGAAGAAAGCTATAATACTATATAAGAACTATTAAACTAAACTATAGCTTTTAGAGAGTAGTATAGAATATATTTTAACCCTACTAAAATAGAGGTATAATATTTCTCCTAATAAAGAGAGGACTATAAATTTATAATTACCTATAGGAAGTATATAATTACCCTAAAGCTTACTATAAGATAACTTAAGGTCTAGCTTAATAGTAAACTAAGCTTTAAGCATTATATTAAAGAGAAAGTGAATATAGTATAAGCTACTACTAATTATATTAAGAGCCTAAATAAGGTTTATATTAGTATACTACCTTATACTATAAGAAAGGTAATATATATAATAGCTATCCCTAAAGTTCTATTTAGCTTAGAAATATAGTACTTTAAACTAAATAAACCTATAGTAAAACAGAAGAATAGGATATAGCTTAGAGTATAATATAGCTTATAAAACTAAGTTAATAAACTTTAAATAGCACTTAATACTACTATAAGAGGATATATATTAGCTTAGAAAACTATACTAATTCTTATACTTATATAAAAATCTAGTATGCTACTAATAAAATACCTCCTTAACTTAGTTTAATAGAGACACTTCTTAAGATTTAGAACTCTAGATAAAAACTACCTATTAGTTACTTAAGTAGCTAGCTATAAGTTATAAAGAAATAAGGGTAATACTATATAACTTACTAACCTTATAGACCTCCTACTAGAAATTATTAAGTTTCTTAGACTAATCTTCTACTTATAGGTATATAGTGATAAACTTCACCTACTAAAGCTAAATAAAGAAGAAGCTACTATAGAGTATTAAGAGTAGCTAGAAATACTTAATAATAACTAATTAGTTATCTATATAAATAGATTATAACTATAACCTATATAAATAAGATATAGCTATACTATATTTTATAGAAGTGAGGTTATCTATATAGACTACTACTTACTACTAAATATAGAGGTATATAACGCTAAAATAGAAGCTACTAAAACTAGATTATAGGTTATTATATAACTAAACCTAATAGATAGTATTATAGTATACTTTAATAATAAAGTAGTAATATACTACCTTAGAGGGGCTCCTACTACTTCTTTATAAGAAGCTATACTTAACTTTAGAGAGATTATAGTAATAGTATTAATACTAGTTAGAGTTTAATAGGTTTTAGAATATAAAGATATTAAAGGAAATAAGCTAATAGATAAACTTACTAAGAAAGGTATAAAGTATAAATAAATAGATTTTCTTATATATATAGCTACCTTTAACTATATAAAGAGACTTACTAAAAGATTAAGAGCCTACACTTTTAATATCTAATAAGCTATAAATAGCCTAGTTAGTTATAATAGATTAGAGTTATATACTAATTTAAAACTAACTCTTAAAATATAGATATTATACTAATAGGACCTATACTATCTTATAGTAGCTAAAAGTAGCTATAAGGACTTTACTATTTATTATAAATATTTCTAATATAAAGATATAAAGCTCTATTATACCTATAGTAAACATAAAATACTAATATACCTACTCTTCTATAGAAAGAACTAATATAAAGTATTTTAATTTAGCTAATATAAATTTATTTAGAAATAACTTAATAAAGATTAAGAGAAGTTTATTAAAAATACCTAACTACTATAGTAATAAAATTATATACTATATAATATAGCTACCCTACCTAAATTTCTTAATACCTCTAACCCCTATATAAAGCTTAAACTAACTAAATATAACTAAATTTATAAGTTACTATATAAACTTATTTCTCTTTACTTTAGGAATATAGTTAATATAGAGATATACTCTCTTTACTTTAAAAAATAGATACCTTAATATAAAAAGTTAATTATAATCTAAACTTATATACTATATTATATTATTAGTATTACTTTTATTAATTTACTTAAAGTTATTAGCGTTAATCTTATATATTTCCCCTCACCCTAATAAACTAGAGTAAGTAGAGAATATATATATTAATACTAAATATTTCTTCTCTATATATTATATATAGTATAAGAGGGTATCCCCTACTTACTCTATATAATATATAAAGTACTAAAACTATTACCTCTAGAGTATTTAATATACTATAGCCTAAAAATAACTAATATATTAATATCTTATAGATCTACTATTAGAGTATACTATATAATATAAAGATAGAATAAGTTAGGATAGTAGGACTTTACTTTATTTTACTTTTTAAATCTCTTTTATTATTCTACCCTAATCTATATATATACTTAGAATAGATAGATACTAGAGCGTCTTTTACTTAGTTCTAAGGCACTATAGATATTAAATAAATACACACACATACACACACACACTTACGACAGATAGATCTCTGAGAGTCGTTGATTCGTATCTAGCTAGGCGCTTTTTCAAATAGACTGAAAAGCTGCACGCTGTCTGTAAGCACCTAGAATGGTTATGAGGAGCTAAGGATCGCCCACTCTCTACTTTGGAGATGAGGTCATGCATTGTCAGACCCGAGGCTTCCAGGAGAGGCACGATGAGATCAAGCTTCCTTTCGTGCTTTTCGTTTGAAACCCTTAGTCTAGAAACGACTTGTGTTAGACCGTCAAGTTGTTGTTTGTAGGACTTTTCTGCCTCTTCTATGGCCGATAGAATCCCTTCCAGCTTGCCTGAATGAGTTGTGTGCATAACACGGAGCTCAGCTTGCGAGCCTATAGCTGCTAGTTCCGCATTGTTATCAGAAGCAACAACACTTCTCTGTAGCAAATTGTCGTATTGAAGTTGGTGTGGCCGCGTGAAACTATCGATGAAATGACGGAGTTTTGACTCTTTGCACCACGAGTGGGCAATCAGCAGAAACTCCAAAATGCAAGAATACAGATTCTCAACGGCAAGTCGCATGTTCGTCGTTGGGTATATTGTGGAATCAGCTTTGACTCGCGAAAGTCGTATGCCAACCTGGCAGGTGGACTTGGCCACGATTTTCAGGGTCTCTGCGTGGTTGACCACGCTCTTCCTCCGCTGCGTTAGCCCTTTTCTTGGGTCTGCGTCAAATTGGTTGACTCACACCAGATACCAGCGTCATAGCGCCCCATGCCAGCGATACATACTCTGGATGATGTTGAACAAAGACGTCGAGGATCGTCCCGTAGCGAAATATGATGTCAGACGTCTTTTGAAGCCACCCTCTAGTTTTGCTCGACCGCTTCGCTGCCTCGTAGCTTTCGAGCGTTGCGGCCACCAAGCCTTGAATATCCTCCATGGAATGACTCCCAGTTACTAGAGTCTTTTCTCCGAGTGTCAAAGTATCGCTTTGAAGGAAGTATCTCTGGACAGCCCTAAAGGCATCCTCCGCGACGCATTCTGCATCTGTTCGAATCGCGTTAAGGCGTCTCAATAACTTCACTGGTCATTCGAAACTTACATTGGTTCACCCCTTATACCATGATGATGTAGCTTTATTAGTGTCCATTTCTACTGTACCATGGAGCTGTTGCACTATGAAATCACACTTTTCAGCTGTCTTTCCGTACCGGGCTCGGTATCCGGAATACGGTAAATGACGCGGGAGGTGTTGGTCACGACCCGTACAGCCAAGCCAAGGCTCGTGAATGCGGCAAGTAGGCAGCCGTTTCGTGCTCTAAAGGATGACCTTGTTGTGCGGAGCTCTACTCCAGCTGTCATGTAGCATTTTCTTGGTGCTTAACGCCGTGCTTGAAGCCTGAACGGACCAGGCTCGATCGATGTTTCAGGAGGATATGACGAACATATCCGCCGGGCGCTTAGCAGTCCGGTGCTGATCCTCAAATCATCACGTCAGCCTATCAGGATGTCAGGCTCCAGCCAATCACATTTGATTCTGGCGATTGAGGATGCAGATGTTATGTTGTGTAATGTTGGCTGCGCCTCAGCAAAAGCAGTATTCCCCTCTTTCCAGCCATTTCTTGCCCCCTTTTTTTCTTCTTTTTCCCTATTTCCATCTTGCCGCTTCACGGCGCCTTCCCGCGGTTTCAACGCCAGTGACAGCTTACGGCAGAGATTTCTACCAGCTTCAGGTCCCGTCGCAGCTACACTTTGATCACGCATCATACTCTACGGTGCATCGGGTTCAGCGCCGCTAACATCTCGACCCAATTCAGCGTACATACATGCACTTCAAAGCGTTCTTCACGAGCATCAAGCGGCGTCATTTGAAGCAGGATCAAGTACTCGTACATTATCCAACATGGCGACGGACAACGTACATCATCGAATGACGACAAATCCACAACCTCGAAAGTCTGGATCGTCCCAAAGAGTCAACAAGCAACGCCAAGGAAAGGATGCCAAACACCGGCACGTGATGGCTAGTGCATCTTCAGGAGGCTCAATCCATGCGATGCAGGATTATCAGATACAACTGGCGTTGTTGGAGCTACAAAACAAAAAGCGGCTAGCGTGGGCTCGACAAGAACAGCCTGCAGGTGGAGGTGACTATGATCCAGGTAATGGTGGGAGTGATACTTTGGAAGGAGCTACGGTTCCGACCCAGGTCGACGATCCAGCGTCTCGGGAGACAACCCAGCCACATTACACAATATCGGAAGATGAGATAGGCACTTTGGCATACAAAACAGGTGCTCCTCAACATATCGAACCCTCCAGCCGTTCAGGTGCTGCGCAGGCCGTTATAGCAAAGCTGTCTGATAAGGAACGAGAGCCCACAAATTCACGCCACCCTAAAGCAACGGTATCTGGGTGCTCCGGTCAGCTTAGGTCTGTGGAGTCATCTCTACCGACATTCCCCTCGGAATGCGCCTCTCATGCAGTATCACAACGGAATTTACACGGCCACAGCCCATCATCTATAGCTCAAAGACGGAAGCAGCCCGATAAGACTCACTGGATCTTGGAAGCAACTCAAGAGACGCAAAAGATGAACCAGAACCATGGGCTTCGCTATAGTCCAGCAGATGCATCTGAGGTATTCGAGACAGGTGAACTTTTCACAGAACAATGCTTTTCCTCGGGACTTGATGCGGGAGCTACTACCCCCAACAGCTCAGAAGACATCCAGATGGTTATTCCTGAGACAGACGAGGTCCCCGACGAAGCATTTTCGGACCCTCTCAGCGCCGAACAGACATCTTCAACGTGTTTCAATGTCCTTCAAAAGATGAAACAACGAATTCAGCAGCTAGAAGCAGAGAATGAAAAGCTAAGCCGTCCGCCGCCGGCCGTGGCTGTCAGAGTGCGAATCTTCCACTGCCTTCAGAATGAAGACATGGACGAACATACCTACCTCTCGGAACCAGAATGGATGGTCAACGAAGACGACATCCGTCTCAGTGCCCGATCTCTATTAATGGACCCTAAAAGATACATCAAAAAAGAGAAAGGCATCTCATTTGTTGTCTACAAGTGTTACTCAGAAGACCATCAGAGAGACGCAGTGGAAGAAGCAAGGAAGTTTTCCGGGCCACTGCCACACCCGGTACCTGCCTACCAGGACATATTGCTAACCTCGAAGGAGATGGTGGACGCTGTGAAGGCATTCTTCGCGCTACATCCTGCGTCTCGTGGGGAGTTCCCCAAGGTCAACACGGATGACAGGTTGTCAGCGCCCTTCATATGGTGGTACCATCATCGCAAGTCAAATAAAATCGGATGCCTGCCGCACCGTCAAGCCGAGTTGGTCAATGCACTTATCGGCCACATCGAACAGGCTTATGCGCCGTTATACGACAACATAGACGAACAACTCAGCAGAGGCTTTGTGTCGAATGCTTCCATGGAATATCTCTTTCGACCGGGTCAAGTTCTGATCTCGTTCACGGATGGTATCCCACAAGGTCACATTGCAATATCTCGCCCTTTTACCTACTCCGATGAACCTGACGATTACGCCATTATTCCAACGTCAAAGAGACGTCGAGATCCCTCAGAGAAGTACTTGTCGCAATGGAACATATCAACGCGTTCAATCTCCTACCGTGGGAACTTTGTTCGGGTGGAAGAGAAGCTCAAGATCGAGTTCGAGACGGAGACTGAGACCGGAGAAATTGATATCTCGACCTTACCTGTCGTTCCGCTTGAGTACACTTCAGAGGCAGTGCAGGAACGATTAAGACGCCGTGGCCACACAATCTGGAAATGTCGGGAGAAGCGACTCATCTCCTACCAAGGCAAACGGCAAATTCACACGGTATGTTGAGTGTTCTTGGACGAGCTGACAATTTCGACTCGCCTCTCTTTACTGACCCTTTCACTCTATAGGGAGAAAGATTCATGATTGACTACGACACGTATACGAGCCTCCATCCAGTTAATTCGTATGCGATGAAGGCTACCAAGGCAGTGGCTGAACCGGGCTTGCCTGCAGATGGCAGTGAACCCCGCGCTCCTGAGATCTATCTCTTTCCAAACATGGTCCCTGGCTTTGATCTGAGACGCAAGACATGGGGTAAGACTTTTCTGTGATTCTTCACGTCAAAGAACTGCACTAATCTTTTAAATAGTTGACGTTGAGGTCGACCAAATCAAGGACGTTGTCTGGAATGAACATGCCTTCAAGAGTCTAGTGGCTGACGAAGATATGAAGTCACTTATTCTGGCGCTTGTCACGAACCAAATTGACGCCAAAAGAGGCACGGATATTATCCATAACAAGGGGAACGGTCTCATCATGTTGCTTCATGGCTCTCCAGGTACTGGCAAAACGTTTACCGCCGAATCCGTCGCCGAAATAGCCAAGAAACCTTTATACTCGGTAACCTGCGGCGACATAGGCACGAATCCTGCTGATGTCGAGAAAAACCTCGAGTCCGTCTTCCACCTCGGCAAGATTTGGGACTGCGTTGTGCTTCTGGATGAGGCCGAAATCTTCCTCGAGCAACGCACTGTGCAAGACCTCCAACGGAACGCACTTGTCTCCGTATTCTTTCGCGCCCTAGAATATTACGATGGGATCTTGATTCTTACGACAAATCGCGTGGGGACCTTCGACGAGGCGTTCAAGTCTCGAATTCAACTCGCACTCAGGTACGAAAAGTTGGAGGCCTACCAACGCAAGCAAATTTGGAAGAACTTCTTCGAGCGGCTCAAGGGCATTGCAGAGGAGGACAACATTGACTTCGATGATATTTCGCTGCACATAGACGAACTGACCAGGCACCCGATGAACGGACGACAGATCCGAAATACGATCACCACCGCACGGCAGCTCGCCAAGTTCATGGGAAAGAAGATGGTGTTTTCGCATCTGCAACGAACCATAGCAATCACGAACAAGTTTGATCAATACTTGGCTGACGTTTGGGAAGCTGACGTGGAGGAACATGGTGGAAGAGGCTTGGATGGCAGGTAATCTGACGAGTATTTCGCTCGATCTGATCAAATACGATAGTACGACTAGCTATTGGGAGAGCACCGCGGTAATTGAATGCTTTCGTTTTGCAGATCCACAGGGCATGAAAACCTCGCATTTGGCGATAGATCCAAGCCATCGGCATTCCCTGTCCTGGCAAATGATGCTTCTTCTGCTGAACTGTAAGTTGACGAGTTCAAGCCGATATCGAGCACGTAGAGATGAATTCCATAAGTTGTACGGAAGGTTTAGCTACGAGAAGAATAGAATAGCAATGAGCAGGTCATCTTACTTCGGGATCTGTGCCTCGAAACCACACGATCGGATTAACTCGCTGCAGATATCTACTCAGACGAACTCATTTTGCAACCTATCAACTAGAGCTACGTTTTCTCAACTTGACTAGTGACCAATCTGACTTTTCTACAGCAAAAACGCATTTCGAGCTACCACTCATAGATACCATCCAAGATTCTGCTCTCCGTTCGAATCTGGTGCAGTGAAACAGGTCGAATGACGGAGCTTGACAGCTTCAGATGATGGATCGCATCACCGTGACACCTGACATCGTCAACATTCAGAAACTCCTTGACGACAACGCAGTCGTTCCAGTGATGTTCTCCCTGGTGCTCCATACCGACTGCCTTCCAAGCTTGGATGACGGACGACTCCAAGGCATAATCCCATGTTGCTCTCCATGTAATCACGGGACGCTGCCCATGACCCATTGACTTGTATTGGAAGAGCGCCGCCAATCCCTCTCGCCCGTCCCAAATCTCCATCACGCGGAGCTTTGGCATTCTCATAGCCATCTTTGCCGCTTTTCGGAGCATAGCACCGATTTGAGTGGTCGTCGCATCGGGCGCGAGTAGTCTTGAGGTCAGCGCAAGCGACGTCAGGTTGGACCACTTCCATGAAGGCTCACAACTGCTGAAAAAGTGACTAGCATCCACCATGAACGATGCCTAGAGGTGCTCAAGCTGGAGACTGACACGGGCGATCGCCTTGCCCGCCTTAGGGGTCGGCATTTGACTAGGCTGAACCCCCAGCTGAGGATCGAGAATTTCTGGGTATTTTTGAGTGAAGCTCTCAAAAATGACAAGTCTCCGTAAGTTTTTGAGCTTTCGAGGAAAGATGCGTGTAAACCAAGTTGGATGTACTACGTCACATACCCGAGTTAGTCGGTTATCCCCCATTCAGTTCAACAACCAGCATGTGGAAAGTGGGCAAAGACGAAGCACTTGCACTCACTTTTATCTGCCTCTTCCTGATCAAAATGCCACTTTCTTCTCCAAGACTCGTAGTGAATTTCCTGGGGTCCTGAAAGGCGGGATAAGATTTTCCCTAGAATTTCCGTCAACTGCCGGCGATTCTGTTGACGCAGTATCACCCCTATTACGGCAGTAACTGGAGGAAGGCTCTCCCACCACACTTTCTTTTGTTTGTTGGTCTCAATTGCCCTTTTCTCCATATGTCTTTTAAACCATTTTTCATTCCGTTTGTAGGTTTCGGGCGAATCGTTGTTCCTACTTGCTTCGAGACATAGATTTCCTTTATATTCAGCCTCTTCGAATTCCATAATTTCCTCAAGCCACTGCCATTGCTGCGGGTATTTGGAGTCGAATGAGCGGGAGTCATTCCCCGTCATTGATTCGGCTTCTTGGCTTTTCAGTTGATAGGCGCGGGGAATGCCGTTCCATACTATGGCTCCGAACATATCTTCAATAAGCACTGGGCGTGGGTGAGAAACTCGACGGCCTGCGATCCACCCGTGCTTCTCGTCGTCAAAGTTGACCTGGATAGGTTTAGGCAACCGCTTTTTCCAGCCGCAATTTTCAGGTGATATATCAGGCACAAAGGTCATGTACTTGAACCAATGATCCGAGTCGCTGGGAGAATGAATGCTGATTTCCAACACTAGGTTGTCGCTCGGTTGCCATGCGCTGAGAGCCGAGAATAGGCCAGTAAATGCTCTGCCGATCCGAACATGATCTGCTGTGCTCATAATACACAAGTTTTTCTCTGCTCCACAATTGGTGCAATCATATTCTTCAAGCTCTGTACACAACCAAATGTAGCACACGAGAGCCCGATTGCGAAAGGTCATCGAGTTGAACTCTGCAAGACGTGAATGCGTGACCGTGATTCGGGCGAAGTTCTTGGGCTCGATAACTTCCTGCCACTCTCGAGAAACAGCAGCGAATTTGGCCACGCTGCAGCCGTCCTGTAGTAAGCATTTCATAATTTCAAGTCTGATTTCTGCGGGCAAGCGGCGCCAAGATGCCCTGTTTGATGGCGACGACATTGGTGTCAAATTTGGTGGTGGTCGAGCTTGGGAGTACGTGTGTCGTGTGGTGGTTGGAAAGAATGAATCAATCGCAAGTCAACGATTCAACGTGGTCAGAGCAATTTTTAATTTTTTCTCATTGAAAGACCTGGATAGCCCAGATGGAGAAGGGAAACACGAGGCTTCGCTGTGGCGAATGACTGTCGCTTTTAGAACTTCCTGCCTGCCAGTCTCCAAAGCTTACCGGACTGTATCAACAGAGTTTTTCCGTGGCTTTCATAGCCCAACAAGCGGATGTGGTTGGGCTAAAGAGGTAGGAAGAAAGGATTTGTGAGATTATATCGTACCGAGGCTCCCCTTTTCACATTTGGCTCATGTTGCCAAAGCCAACAAGTGACATTGGATCCATTAGCAATCGAAAGTTTAGGCGCCTCAGTTCATTGGTCCTGGGTTGTGGAAATAACCACACGCTCAGCCGGCCACTCACGGGGTCTGATTTTGAGAAGCATTCGAAAATTGAATAAAAGTTGGCTTTCAATTGACGCTACTAAGATCCGAAGAAAAATAACCAAGGAAAAAAGACAAAAGACGTTGGAAATTGTCCGAATGAAAGTTACAGGCAGGGGGCCCTGCTGACCAGGGAGCTGCATCCTTGTTTACCTTTTGGGGGGAGACCCACCCGAATTGGAAGGCGGTGAGGTCGCATTGGAGGCACATCGGATGTACCCAGACGCGCTCCATCCATCCATAACACTCGGTCGAAAGCATCGTGCAGCTTCCAACACCCACTACTCCCACAACGAAACGCCCTCGAGGGCCCAATTTCGACGACGACATGATACACTGAGTCCTGCGACGCGTACATACTATGGAAGAGTCCGCCCCGAAACGGCGGAGGACATCGCCGCGTCTGAGCAGAGAGCGCGACGAAGCCAACAACGAGTCGACGACACCACCCGATCCTCCCCCGCCACGAAGCTTGATCCCGAGGCCGAGACGCCCATCTTTCGCGTCGCCCACCAGGTCGAGCCTCTCGCGTACCAATCCTGACATCCTACGACGACGAAGCCTCAGCCCGTCAAAGCCCGCCGCCGAAAATGCGACCCAATCCACGCAAGACGCCCGCGAGGGGTCCGCTGCACAGAGCCAGGAGTCTGGGCCGTCTTTGACAAGCAAGCCGGCGCGTCCCAGAACAAGCTTGTTTGAACCTGAGCCTACACCGACCGAGTCTCCTCTTGGGTCCCCCGCACGACGATTGCCGAGTTCTTCGCGAGCAGGGCTCAGCGGAGCGCTGGCGTCTCGACCGCGCCGCTCCTCAGGCAAACCAGTACCCAGACCGCTGCCCGAACCAGAGTTGGAGGAAGAAGAGATCAATCCCTTCGCTCGACGTGGAATCCGTCGCTCGCCGCCGACTGGCGTCATTCCCCAGAGATCACAGCCTGAACCCGAGCCCGAACCTGAGCCTGAGCTGCCGCCCACACCCACGCAGAGAGGCCAGGCGGATCCGGTGGTCACGACGCCGCCCGCCGGAATCCACGACACGCCCTCGAAACGGAAGCGACGGCCAGCGTCGCCGTCCAAGAGTTCGCCCTTGAAGCAACCACCCCTCCGCCCGCCTGAGTTCTCTCAGAAGACTAAAGACCCCTCGAAGAAGGCCCCGCCTACCGTGACGCGAGAGAAAAGCCCGAGCAAGCCGGCGAAGAAGACACGGACGAGAAAAGGACCTGCAGGAACACACGAGGCGCGGCAGATACCAGCACCCAACCCGAATGCTGGGCTCGAGGCGGAACGAGACGCGCTCGAAGCGGAGATCGCTAAGTTGGAGGCAGATCTGGACTTTGCCACCGAGGAAAACGAGCGGATTCGGAGAGTGCAGTCGCTTAGGTCTGCGACTGGGTCTTCGGTGCCCGCTTCAAAGCGAGAGCAGCTTTTTGATCTGTTGCAAAGGCACCTCGTGCCCCCTCAGAAGGAAAAGAAGCCGGACGTGGCGGATGAGTGGTTTGACTTGGCGATGAATCCGACGTCTTGGTTGTCGATGGCGTCTCTTGGACAGACGCAGCCCTTCACGTCAAAGCCGCAAGAAGAGGAACTTCCGGCACCAGTATCGCATCACCCGATTCAGATGACTGCTGTCGAGGAGCTTCCGTACCTGCAGGCCTTCACACCATTCGAGTTTTCCGGCACTACGAGTATCCTGCTCCGCGAGAATGAGGACGAGCCTCTGCTGCGGAAGCACAATATTGTTGTTAGATCTGCACATCCCGCAGGATTGTTCATGGCAAAGGTCGAAATGACAGTCGACACCGAAAAGTTACAAATCAAGCACCTCAGCGTGCCCCGACTAGACCCCGCGGCGGTCCCTGAGCTCGGCCCCTTCATCGAAAAGGTCGCCAACGGCGGCTCCAATACGCACATGAAGCGAAACGTCAGCATCGTCACCTGGGCTATGGCTGAGTGGTACCGCCTCGCCGTCGAGCGAGCCAACGTGTGGCATGTCCTCGAGAGCGAGCTGGGGGATAAGGAGAAGTTGGTCCAGAGCGTCGCTAAGATAAGAACTCGGCGTAAGAAGCGCAGGAGGAAGGACGATGACGACCCGAGTCAGGATACAGACAGCGCCTTTGGCGACAAAGACCGGCCGCAGAATCTCACTCGCGGAGCGTTGCTTCCCCACCTTGGACGAACAGCCTACGAGATCCCCATCCCGGATGCGGTGGACGAGGAGACGTCGTGCTTGAGAATACAATGGAGGATAGATTTTGACTGGACTGGAGAAGCGCAAAGTAAAGTTGGATTGATGATTGGCATGCCAGGCAGATGTTCGTATCCCTTCCCACCTCCCTTTCACGCAAAGCTAACACACCGCAGGGCGTCTAGGCGACGAGCGCGGCTCATTGGCAGCTGCATCCAAGGTCTTCGAGAGGCTCGTGCAAGGAAACGAAGGGCCCATGACGGCTGTGCGGACGGTTGTTGCACTACTGGCCGGGGACGCCTCTTCTTGAAAAGATACCATGTTGGAGTCGACTTTTGTTTTATGAGTATGAACTGTATATCACTATATCGCCGGCCTCTGATGGATAGACCAGCAGCACAAATACAGAGGCACCTCCTGGTGCATGTTTATGACGGGTATCTCCCTCGCCTCCAACCATTCTAAACCCAAGGTCCTCCATAGTTGCTGCCGTTCATATCTCCATTCATACCACCCTGGGGACTTTGTCCGTTCTGCCCATTTTGGTATTCCCTTGGAGGACGCATGTGGAAACCCCCTCCGCTCTCATGTAGAGGTCTCATGCCGTACATCGCCCTCAAGCTATCCGCCCTCCCCATCGGCCCGGGCATGCTCCCCGTAGTCCCAGGCCAATGGCTCCGGTACGCCACGTTATCGTAGATGCCCCGTCCGAGGCGTTCGCCAGCATGCGGCCAGCCGCCGCCGCCTCCACCACCGCCGTTCTCGCGAGCGAGGTCGTTGTACGTCGGGCCCGCTCCGCCGTACCGCGCGTTGCCGCCGGGTGTGTACATCCCGTTACTCATATCCGCGCCATTCATCGCCCGGGCGCGCATGCTCATGTAATCCAGCGCGCGTGGTGCGCTCCACTGCGTGCCAACATCAGGCTGGTTGGGGATCGTGGGGCCACGCCACATGCGGCTCGGGTCGTTGTCGGGCATGAAGCGGACGGGGATGCGGCCGGCGTTGTTTGGTCTGGGGCCATTGGGCGTGTTTCTGTTCTCGGCCGGGCCGGTTGGGTAGCCGAAGGGGTTGTTGTTATCCGACATGGCGACTGTTGAGGATGTAGTTGCTTGGAGTCTTTGACGTGGGATGTGAGGTGCTGGAGGAGGTCGATTGGGAGGGGCTTTATATGACATGGCTGGGTGGTGTTTGCGGTGAATCGCGGGGTGTGGTGTTTGGTGATTCAGGCGGAGGCTGGACGAGGATGCGTTTGGGAATCGCTGTGGAACTTGAGTTAGGTTGTGTTGGACAAGATTCAGTACCGGCCTCGCGGCAACGTACATGTACTACTGATGGGCAAGCTCGCTGGCTGCGAGTTGCCGCTTTCCCAATGCTGCCGAAGCTGTCGTTTCAGAGAGGCTGTTGCAGAAACCCTTAAGTAGTAGTGTTGAGCCTGGCTTATCCGTCCGGAACTCTTGGGACAGTGTTGTTTCTTGGCTTGATGTCCACAGAAAAGACAACCGACGAGTTCTAAGCTCTTGATAGGAAATTCGGCAACAAATATGTGTTATTTCCTGCGAGAAAGGCAGCAGCACGATAGTCGGACCCAGCCACTACTCGAAACACCTGCCTAGATCATCCCAAGGCATCATCGAGGGCTGTTACCCAGGCATTCAAGGGGGATCATTGTCCCATAATCAACCATAATAGCTACATTTTGCAGCTACTTGCTTTCACGGCACACAATGCACTTATTTAGAGGTGTCCCTCATGGATATGAAGGCAGGCTTAAAGGTTGATAAAGCAGAAGCAAGCCGTTCATGATGATGAATCCAACCATGAAAGCCAGTGATGACTTGTTCCCCCTACCCCTACAAAGACATGATAGGCCGTCATCATATCATTCATCAGACAGACAAGAGCCACCATGAGAGTGTCTTTGTTACTAGGACGAGTTCAAGAACAGGTGAGCATGGTTGCTGTAAGAGCCGCAGACCGAGGGGAACGTCGATGCACCAAGCCCGCGCCCCTGAGAGACACCCCCTCGCCGGCTCGAAGGAAGACTTCACGATAGAACCCTTACTCGACGACTAAGCAAGGCGACAGGAAAAGATTTTACCGAAAATATTCAACTGGTGTTGTTTTGAAACTTCTTGCCTCTTCGCAACATCATCGCAAGTCAGCTAGACGCCCGCCATGGCTGACCCCAACCACCCCAAGCCCGACCAGGGGGGCCCTCCCAACACCTCGTACATCGAAGACAACGAGGACTCTGACACTGAAAGCATCTCTTCGCCCCTCGATAGCCTCTCCATCGACGAGAACAACATCGGTCCTATCGCCGCCGCTGTCCCTTCTGCGCACATCCTCGACATCGTCAACGTCTCGGGCACCAACTCGGCCGCTGCCTCCTCTCCCGTTCCCAACACGACCACCACTCCCCTCCCCCGCGAGCTCACCCTCGAGCCCCTCGTCTTCCTCGGCATGGCCCGCCCCATCCCCAGCGAAGCCGCCTCCATCCGCCAGAGGTACGGCCCCATCGCCTACGCCGACGACGTCGTCAAGGCCTTCGGCCTCCCCACCGCCCGCGCCCTCGCCAAAGAGATGGCATTCCACGTCGCCCGCCTGCACTACCACTCCGTCCGCGACTCCCACCGCGTGGTCTTCCGGCTCGCCATCCCGCGCACCTACAACACCACCACCCGCCGCGGCGGCGGCGCCCCGTACCTCAAGATGATCGACTACTACTCCCGCCGGATCTTCATCGACAGCAACGACCATTTCTTCCTCAAGGGACCGGGAGACCTCTAGGAGAGACACACCAACCCCGCAGAGGACCTCTGGCGCAAGCACCAGTTCCCCGTCTTCCCGCTGCCTCACCCCGTCCATCTCCTCGGGGGCGCTTCTTCGGAGGATGAGCTGCTTGAGGCGTTCTCGGTTGACTACCACCGCAGCGCGGCTGAGATCATGGATGAAGTGCGCGAGATGAGCAGCTTTCCTCGCGTGACGTACGGCTACTACTTCGCCCTGTCGGACGATATGGTCCGTGAAATCGACGCGTTCAGATCTGAAGATGCCTCTGATGACGACAGCTGAGTGGAGGAACGGAGTTACCGCGTGGATAGCTTCAATGGAGGGCAACCAGTGATGGCGGGTCGCATTCTGCCTCAATGCTCTTAGTGGATAGGGACGGATAGAATCAGGTTACCTCGACGTTTGGAAGCTCGAATAAAGACAGGATTGCCTCGACGTCTCGGTCCTTCCGTGAACCACGCCCGTAAGAAAGGTACGTCGAATGAGAGTAGCTTGAATAGGCAACGACGGCAACGGGTTGGTTCCTGCCTCGACGGATCAAATACTTTGGGATCAAATGAAAATCAAGTTCCCCTCAATACTTCAGTCAAATGAACCACGTATTTTCACAACGGGACATCAAAAGTTCATTCAGCCTCAAAACGGCTCCGTAGCTCGGTTCGCTAACTAGGATTCGTAGGTGTATCTATGACCCCGCGTCATCCCTTTCATCAAATCATAAAAAGCCATGCTCATACAGCGGCAAAACAACATGCTTTCCCCCACCTGCCCCGTGACATCGTCATCGTCGTCAACCGTTTAGTCTGAATCATTCCAGCGTCAGCCATTGTCCCGTTCATCACTATCACGGAGGGAAGCTACTCACTGAAGACGAAGTTGCCGTTGTCGTTGCCGATGCGCTCGGACAGGTTGCAGTCGGCGTCGATGGCCTCGCCGCCAAGGTTGAAGAGACGGGCGCGGAGGATGGGGACGTTGTCGCCGCCCTCGATGGAGAAGTGAATGTCCTCGGCGGAGTTGGAGTAGCCTGTGGTGGGATGTCTTGTTAGTGATGATTGTTATGAAGGCAGATATGCTGGGCAAAGAGCAAGTCTTAGATGAAAGGGTCCATCCGGTGAAGGAGGACGACGACGGGGAGGGGAGGAGCGTACCGTTGCCGTTCCACTCAAAGTGGCCGTCGTTGTTGCCGAGGCAGTTGTTGAGGTCGATCTCGGTCTCGTTGAGGTCGCCGTTCTCGTTGCGGAGGGCGGCGCGGAGGATGTGGCCGTCGTCGACGCGGATGTTCTCGGCGGAAACGTGGAAAGACATTTTGTGTGTGGTTTGGTTGTGGTGGAAAGGGGTATCAAAGGTTGTGTTTGCGGCTTGTAGCTTGTGGTGAGGTTGGAATGGGAGAGGAAGACAGAAGTGGATGTTGGGAGGAGGAATTGGGTTTATATATACGTCAGGGACCCGTATGTAAGAGGGCAGGTGAGCTACCTAGCTGCCACCGGGTCTATGGATCACGGAGGAGGGGCACAGGCTTGGCCGAGAAGAGAAAGGGGGCGTTCAGGGTAAGAGGGGCGAGAGGCCTCCATTGACGGCAGAGAGGATCAAACACGTGGAGGCAGGTGGAAGGGGAGAGCTACCTAGATGGTGGGAAAGGGCGGTCTTGGACGCTGTCTTTGGCGGGATGGCATGGGATGAGAAGGGGAAGGAGAAGAGGGTTCCCACTTGGCGATCGCGTCACGGAGGAGGTCACGTAGCTTGAGCTTGCATTCTGGGGCGGGTTGCCTCGTCTTGGTCTTGCCCATTGACTTTCCGTGTCTTTGCTGGCACAGTCTTGGCCCTGCCCTATAAGGAGAGGCAGGCAAGCTGTGCCGGGACAGTTGTGAGGCATTCCCTCGCGGTGATTCGGTTTGTTTCTGCCGCATGTCACTCTCTCATGCGACGGGACGTCCGTTCCCACCTGAGCTCCAGGAAAGCTGGCTACGTGGAAGCTTGGAGCCAAGAGCCGCAGCTTGGGAAAAAAGGCCAGCTCCCCGCCATGGACAGGGGTGAGAGCTATCCTTTGGTTGGGTAGGCTCGGGCCGGGGGGTGTTAGCTTTTAAGTGGGATGGAGGGGCAAAAGGTACGGGGCGGGGCGAGAGCAGGCAAGCTTGTTGTTTCGTGGGTTTCTGTGTCGTTGTTGTCGTTGTCGTCCGCCCTCGAGACCTGTCGTGAGGTTGCCATGGCGTGGGTGAGACCCCCGCCGGCAAGATGATGCCGAGAGCTCACGATGCGCGGTGCTTGGCGTGCGTGCTGCTTATGCAGGGCTCTCGCGAATGGGAAGAGGCGTTTGGGGAGGTTATTACGCGTCCTTTTTTCTTGTGCCTCTGCATCTCATCGTGTTCTGTACGAATTACGAAGGGGCCAGCTGCAATTGAGAGGTGCAACAATCCGGAAGGTTGTTCACGGCGTGGCTTGTTCGTTTAGGTAGGTCCGAAGTTTGGGCCTTACTGAGGAATGATGAGATGATTCATGACGGCCGGGCTGCCGCGCGCTTGTTTAGCTAGTTTGGCGGTCGAGACCACAATCCGAACCGATAGACAGAAGACGGCGTCTCGACCTTCTCTCTGCATGATTTGGTGAGAAGCAGCCCCCGTCGCCCTCCCTCGCGGCCGCAGATGTGAGACCTGAGCCAGGCAAGGCGAGACGAAAATGTCCCGAAAATAAACATAAGGTGTGAGGCGATGGACGAGACGGCATGATCACGCATTCCATGGGGGCCAAACGCGAGAAGCCCACCAAGTGGTTCCCTCCCCTCCTCTCTGTCTCCTTTGAGCTGCAGAATGAGGGGTCCTCAGAGCCGAAGCTGAGGTGGTGTTTTGCCCACGGATCGTCTCGGATTGCCCCATGACTTGGACCACCTGCGGTTCCATTCAATGGACCCCATTAGAGTGGGAATAATTACGGATAGGCTTGTTTTTCTTTGTCCTTGTTTGGATTGGAGACCTGGCAACGTGAAAGAGCGAGAGTCAGAGAGGGCGGGTAGTTTGAGGTCCGTGGATGTGGCATGTCGTCGATTTAGATGCGGTGTATCCGTACCTTGCCTTGCTTCGTAGTGGCTGGAGGCTGGCCCCGTCCTTTTTCTGCTTTATTTTATTTTTCTGCCCCTCCCCTGGTAAGGAGGGACGGGAGCTCCGGCCTATTGGGGTGATAGAAATGGCCTAAAGGGGTGGGTACGGGGGCCACGGGTTGCGGCTTGGGCCGGGTTGCCGTTTAGGAGCGTATTTTCTTCCATCTGGCGGCGCGGGGCGTCGGAGGGAACCTGCTAATGGGCAATAGCTGAGAGCCACGAGTGTGTGAATGGGCTGAGGCGATGTCGTTTACGCCTGGCAAAGGAGGGACGGCGCGTGTCGGCATTGGTTTGTGAAGGACGGCCAGCGTGGGAGTGGTGAGGTGTGTTTTGAGTTGAGGTGGTGATCTGTCGTTGCACAGGCCTTACAGGGTCGGGATGGAGGGGTTGGAGGGAGCCAAGGCGGGGCGGGGCGGGGTTGTGCTTCATCATAGGAGCGGTCAGAGGGAGCTGGTGTTTGGGGTCGAGGTTGATGAGGGTGATTGTTTTGAGCACCTTGAGGGTTTATAATGGTGTATAAATGGATGGTGATGGCCGGAATACTTTAGACAGGCCTAGTACCATCGCCCTTTGGTTGCGGCAGTTTGTTGTTGCGAAGAGTTGTGTTTGCACACCTACGTGGCGAGGCATCCGTCGCATCGGCAGTCAAAACAATGCCGGCCATTGCTATACACACATCACACCAAGGCACGAGAAGACAGTTTCGGCGTCTCAAAAGTTCATTGCCAAATGAGTGACTAAATTAGCCAACAGGTCCTTCCGTCAGAGAGAAAACACAATCCGCCGATAGCGCATCCCCGAACCATACCCCCATTTCCCGTAAAACAAAACTCATATCGTCGTAATCGAAGTCGAGAAAGACGGCTGGACGTTTCCGCCCCAGGCCGCCGTCAAACGGAAATGTTTGTCATGGCTCGTAGGTTGTCTGCTGGACGCACAGAGACGAACAGCTTATTTGCAGCCGGAGCAAGAGCAGCTGGAGCCGCAGTTGCCTGAGACATGGGGGTTAGCGCATGGTAAGGCAGAGGGGGAGAGACAAGCGCGCTGGCGCCGATGTCGTAATCGACGATGCAGCAGCAGCGCAGCCACATGGGGTTGAAGACGTACAGGTAGAAGCGCCGGAGCAGCCGCAGTCACCCTTCATTTTGATGGATTTGGTTGGTTGGAAGAGGTTTGAAAAGGGTGTTTGTTGAAGATGATGTGATGGAGTTGATTGATCGCGTTGTGGAGCAGACGAGACTCAGAAGAGAAGGGTAAGAAACCGCGCCCTTATATATCCGAAGAGGCACTCGGCCGTCGCAGGAGGCAGAGAGGGGAGCGGACGCTGGAGGAGGGGTCAGATGTCAGATGAGGGTGGCCAGATGGAGCCGGATCGGGCGGCCGTCATTGGTGGTGCGGCGCCGTTTGTGCTGTGACGGTGGATGGGTGGGGTTTGCGGCCTTTGTGCGTCGACGGCAGCCAGTCGCCCTCTCGCGAGAGGACGGGCGGGTGGTGGTCTGGCTGACTTGGCCTGGTCCGCCGCCGGGCAATGCATGTCCCATGGCGGGTGGAGGGGCGTATCGCCTCATCTCCTTTCGGCTGCTGGTGCTGCGCTGACCCCTCACATCGTCGTGTTGTTTCTGCGTACGGCGGTAGGTTGGTTGTCCTTATCGCTGGCCTGGCTGATAAGGTTCAGCAGGTGGGTTTGCGTCTTTTGTGCTTCCACGCGCCAGGATTCCACGAATTGGTTCTTCATGCAGCGTTTGCAGATGACCCTTGCCTGGCCTGGCCTGGTAAGCCTGGGCTGGCTGGCTCGCAGAAGATGAGATGAGGGCGTCCGTGGCACTCGCTGGCAGCAGCGACGGTATGTTCTAGCATCTGCGAGGCTCTCCTCGACGGCGCACCAGACAACAGATAGCGGCACATCATTCAGGCAGGACCCTGAATCTATCCAAGGCGGCTGACGTCGGGGCACCTGGGGGCGAGGAGGGGTATCCCAAGCAGGCACCAACTCTACCCCAAGCCTCCGAGCTTGCTGGGGATGGGTGGTGTGGCCAGTGGCTGTGACGTCTATCGGCAGCTGTGGCCGTCTCAGTTGCGGGTTTTGTGCGTGAATCCTCACCAGTCGTCGCCCTCTGGCCTCGGGCCTCTTGATCTAGCTGAGACTGGGCGACTCAATCTGTTCGAGGCATTTCTGCGGTATACGGCGAAACGGCGCAAATGGCACATGCTTGACGCAAAAAAGACTCCAATGCCCTGGCGGCGTGGCGGCGTGTCCGGTGAATCTTCAAGCGACTTCCAAGCGAGACGCTCGCGAAAAGGCGTCGGATGTCCCGCCTGGAAGAGGAAATTCTTCATCACCGCTTCTTCAGCAGCCACCTCAGCGAGAACCCCACTGCCGGTCCCCACGGCCAACGTTAACGTTGCGTTCCAATGGGGGTCGCATTGACCTCCGGTGCGTTGCGGCTTGCTCTTCGCCCGTCGCCCGTTGGCCGTCCCAACCACACTGGGATCGGTTGAGTTTGCCGTCCGCGTCGGAGTGCACTGCGGTATGTATCTCCCAGGCGGCGGCGTTGCTAGCTTCTGGCCGGCGCTGTCTTGACCGACATGTTGCCGGAGTAAGCCCAGGAGATAGGCTGACGGACCCTCGCGCGGGTGATGTCGGCGGGCGGGCAATTGTCGGGAACGTTTGCCTTTCAGCAACCGACTAGCGATAGACACGTGTGATGGACCCTTTTCCGTGACGTATCTCCGTGCCGCGTTGGTGACTTTGCATCATGTTTGGCATACAATCGCATTCAACTGGCTGCGGGAGTCGTTTTGGACCCCGTATACAGGCTTGGATTGCGTCTCGCTTCGCTTCGCTCCGTGTGCCGATGAGCCAGGCACAGAAACTTGCTCAAACACAGTTGTCTCCATTGGCTGATCCAGTCACTGCAAACTGCGAATGTATCGAGAATATTGGAACCAAGTCGGGAGGAAGCCGTCGACAGCTGCCTGTGTCATCCATATCGTCTCTTGCTGACCAGTGTGTCACTGTGCATCTATTTCCAGGGCAGGCGCCAGTCGGCAGGCTCTTCGGGTAATGATCGGCTGATGACATCGCCCCCACATGCAAGTTGAGTGCCTTATGTCAGCAGTGTCCGCAAGTCACGTGTCGGTGAGAGTCAGCTCTCTCCGATGATCATCGATAAGATCGACCCCCATAACAGTGTTTGTGACGTTGTTTCGGAAGGCGACGCTGCGCCAGACGCCATCAGGAGATAAGGCTTCCAGAATGGTATCCGAATTCATCGATCAGCAGTGATAGAAGGTGGCAGCCTCCAGCTTATTGGTACAACGGTGGCTCCACAAGAGCAAACAATCGAATCCGCCAATAGGATCGTTTTCGGAGCGACGTCGCAGTGATGGACAATCAACACCCGGATCTTGCCTTGTGCCAGCCTATCGACAGTCGAAACCGAATGAACACGCAAGATTCTCTAGTTTACAGCTCAATCTTCCACAAAGCCACGGCATGAAGCAGCACGGAGATCAACAGCCACGCACCTCACTCCCTCCCACTTAGCCTCACCTTCATCTTCATCCCACTCCGAACCGCCGCCCCCATCTTCATCTCCTGGAACGCCATGTCTCCCACCAGTGCGTCAAGCTCAAAGAACGTCGTCCGCGCCTCCCTCTTCCCCACCGGCACAGTCTCGAAATCAAACCACCGCGCCGTGAGCAACAACAGCACCCGCAGCTCGTCCATCGCCAGGTCCTGCCCCATACACGCCCGCGGGCCCCTTTCAAACGGCCTCCACGCAAACCGGTGCAGCGCCGCCCCCTCCGCCCCCAGGAACCGCTCCGGCCGGAACGCCTTGGGGTCCGCGAAGTAGGCCGGGTCGAAGTGCGACGCAAACTGGCACAGCGCGAGCATGAAGCCCTCGATGGGCAGCCGTCTACCGTCGCAGTCGAGGTGCTTGAGCTCCGGTGGCGCGATCCGCGTGCTGAACCCCACGGGGTAGAAGCGCATCGTCTCCTTGATCACGGCCGTCGTGTACTCGAGCTCGTTCGTCTTGGCAGGGTTCGTCCGCAGCATCTCCGCGCTCTCTTGCAGCCCCGCCGGGAACACGGCATCGTGCTCCTCCCGCATCTTCCGCATGGCCTCGGGGTGCAGGCCTAGCAACATCACTGTGTACGTGAACGCATCCGTCGTCGTGCCGTGGCCCCCGAGAAGCAGCGTCTTCAGACTGGCACACCGTCAGCAAACCTCGTCTTCTCCCACGCATCACCAATCAACTCACTTCACGACCAACAAGTCCAAAAACTCCCCCTTCGGCGGGCCCTGCTCCCCGCTCTGGATCCAGTCCGCAATGACCCGGTCCATGATACTCTTCGCCAGCCGCCGACTCGGCACCTCCCCCTCGTCCCTCATCACCTCCCACCGCTCCAGCACCGCCTTGCGAATAACCTCATCACTCCGCCTCTTTACCCCGCGGATCCGCCACCACTCAACAACCTTCCTCACCGGGTTCCAGCTCGTAATCACAAAGTTCAAATACTGAATCAACGCCCTCAGGTCCTCCAGCAACACCGACCCCTTCCCCTGCGCGTCCAACGACATCCCAAACACAATGCTCCCAATCACGTCAAAAATAGCCTTGGCCGCCTCCCCCTCTAGTTCAAACTCCTCCTCGCTCCTCTCCACCGCCCTCTTCCTCAGCTTCTCGTGAAAAACAAGCACATGCTCCGAAAACATGCTCAACATCGGCTTCACGTACCCCTGGCTGAACCCGCTCCCCATCATCCGTTTCCCCGCCTTCCACATCTCCCCGTTCACGCTCACAATGTTGTCCTCCCCCAGCACGGGGCCCATGAACTTGCCTACCTGCGGGTGCTTCAGCGTCGGCGTCCCTGTGAGCAGCCGCTGCGCCGCGTCCGGGTCCGTCACCACCAGCACCGGGTCCGCCAGCGGCCAGAAGTCGAGGTACCACGCCCCGGGCATATCATACCGCTGCGCGATCGCCGCCATGTACACCTGCGGGTGGCAGTTGGGCGGCATCGTCGCGGCGACCTCGCCCAGCAGACGCAGGTGGCCCCATATGAACGAGTGGCCCGGAGGGCATGGCTTATTCTCCAAGTCAGCTTTCCATCTCTCTTCGTCGTGAACGTCCGCCCCGTGCGTACCTTGTCCTTGTAGAAACTACGCTCCTGAATGAGACGAATGATAAAGTATCCCACCGACGCGACCCCGAGTGAAAAGATGACGAGCCAGTTCGGTACCCCAAACATGATGCTTCAGTAGCAAATGCAACCTTGCAGATCGAGGCTTCAAATCTTGACCTTTTTCACGATTAACCAGGGCATCCAAAGCATAAAAACAACGGGTTGCCATCACAGGGATATACATCAGCCCACCAACCAACGCCTCCCTAATCCTTCGTATTTCGTGCGTCGTACCTTGCGGCACAGTCTCGGCTCGCTTCCGTGCAGAACCCCGCATCCTATCATTTCCACCTTCTTGAAAAGGGTGTCGAAGCGGGCTTGGCTTGGAAGGGATGGATCGCTTAACTTTGAGTCAAAAATCGGCGTTGGTGGCTTGCATGCGCGGGGATTAGTCACCCCTTTGATGCGGCGTCTGGTCATGATTGTGGCTTTTGGGGCAGGTACTTTACTGTCTCTGATGCCTGTGATAGATTTGTCTGTTGTCCTTGCGGTCTCTTTGGTCTCTGTCATTCCTCCCATATCTCTTTTATCGTCTCGCTTGTCCCTATCGGTCCTTTTGTTTCTATCGTTTCTGTCGTCGTCGTCCCCCGTCATCGTCCCCCGTCATCGTCCTCTATAATCGCCGTCGCTTTTCGCCACTAGGTCTGGACTTCACGGGGCATAAAGGTAGCGACTAAGTGGTAGCAAAATTTCATCTATCTAGAGTAACGACTCGACGTTATCATGATGAATAGGTGATGTATTTACTCTTTTCTCCCCTCAAACTTCTCGCATCTGTTTCTAAGTTTGATGCTAAAGTTGTTAAACCTCCGCTTTTGTCGTCTCACTTATGCTAGTCCTGGGATTTCTATCGTTTCTGCTGTTTCTGTCGTCCGTCATCGTCGTTGTCGTCCTCTATCGCTGTCATCAACGTCGTCGTCGTCGTCGTCCTTCAGCATTAGATGTGGGCTTCACGGGGCACGAGGGTAGTGCTTATGAACCGAGTGGTAGCAAAAGTTCGTCTATCTAGAGCAGCGACTAGACTTATCGTGATGAATAAGCAATATGTTTGTTCTTTCCTCCCCTCCTCCAGCTTCCCCTTGTCATCCTCGTCCTCATACTTCCAACATCTGTTTCCAAGTCTGATGCCAAAGTTGCCCTGTATGATTCCCAGTCACCAGCTTGAGCTTGACATTCGTTCCAGCCAGTAGCTTGCGCGCATCCTTTGTCCACTGCCTGGGCTTTCCGTATTTGGCACCCAGAGCGATGACCTTGAGACAAGGTAGCTGGTTCTTGGACGCAGTGCAAAGAGCGGTAATCATCTTCTCGATCCCTTTCTTGTAGGCCATGACTTGGGGGTGGCTAGCTGTGATCCGGCCGTGGACCCCGAGCAAGGACCACGTCGCGTCGATAAAAATCTTCTCCAGTCGAGGAGCCAGCAAGTCTGGGAAGCTCGATCCCAAAAATTCAATGTTGGCTGGAGTGTCAAAGAAGCAATCGAGAGTGATACGGAGCTCTTTGAGATTATGCATCCGAGGCAGGCAAGTAAGGTGTTGAGTTGAGCTTGAGTTTAGGACCCATGTGTTTCCAAAGAAGCGGTTGTATCCTTGAGTGTTCAGGGACAGTTCCTTCAGCTGTGGACATGATTCTGGAAGGACTGCGTTGATGTCTGATCTCCCATTCCGGCGAGGGCTCTTGATGGAGGCTTTCAGTCGTCTGAGATTCGGGCAACGCCTGAGCAGGTGGCAGAGGCCGGTTCCGTCAGCACTGCTCGAATCCAGTGTCAATGTCTTCAGAGGAAGCTGAACGTTGGGAATGTCAGGGTCTCCAAGCGCATCCCACATGGGAGTATCGCCTATAAGACGCAAGTCGGTAAGATTGGTAGCGGACAGAAGAGGGGTGAGGACGCTGATCGGTTGGCCAAAGACGGTCTCCGCATAGGTCGGGAGGCTAAAGCCGGTGAGAGCGAAACTTTTCAGAGATGGAAACAGAGCTCTGCGAGGGGCGACGGCCAAGGACGACGGCGACGACGGCGACGACGGCGACGACGGCAAGGACGACGATAGCAAATCCAGGTATGCGATAACGACGCGAGTTGACGGACGACAATAGGAGTTGACCTCCAGCCTAACCTCTTCAGCCCGGTCAAGAAAGACGAGAAGCAGGGCAAGAACGCTGCGCGAGTTTTCCTTAGGGGATCCGATGCTGCACAGGGTTTTGCAAAGAATGACGAGGCTGCGGTCGGTGTTGCACAGGTTGGTCATGTTGAGCTGTTCATTTGTCCAGGATGAAACGTTCTGAGCCCAACGATCGAAACGGCCGCCGGCGACAGAGATGTGCGCCTCCCTCACGCAGTTGCGCAGGTTCGGATTCTCGATGAAGCTTCGGGTAAGGAGGTCGTAGGCCTTCATGTTGTGGATCTCGATCTTGCGGTACAACTCGAGCTGGGCGAAAGGGTACATCTGCCAGTTGAGGAGGCACAGGTTGAGAAGATCCCTCTTGCTCTGAAAGGCATTCTGGCTTGCGCATTTGACGATGCAGCAGATGAGCTCGTTGGGCAGTCGGGAGAAGGAGTTGTTCGTCATGGTGGCGGCGGTCGCATAGGGTCGTCTGATGTAGGAGATTCGTGGTCAGCAGGTAGGTAGAAGCAAACAGCGCGGCAGGGCATGGTACCTTGGAGTGGAAGAAGCAGACTCGAGACGTCGACTATTGTGCAGACGGAAAAAAGCGCGTTGGTAGAAGAAGAGAAGCCGAGTCGGGATATCGCGTCGACGAGGAGGAAGACTGTGTAGAGATCGTGATGAATACGCGTAAGGCGAGAGAGAGAGAGAGAGAGAGAAGACGACGGACAAAGACGACGGGCAAAGACGACGGGCAAAGACGACGGGCAAAGACAGAGGCGGCGGTGGGAAGTGGTGACGAGGGGTAGAGGCAGCGATGGGGAAAGACAGAAACAGAAAAAGACGACAGAGATAGAGGAAGGCACCGACGAAGATTCAGAAGGGGAAGGAGGAAGGTCGCGGTCGCGACTTGAGGTCTTGCCTTGTTGGGTTGTTGTCGCTTTAGGAAACCACCTGCCTGGGGAGGTCTCGCTGGCAACTTCTCTTTTCCATATTACAAGCTTTTTCCCCATCAAATATCCTTCGCAAAATCAACATGCGCAACCAAGTCCAGGAACCATCTTTGTATTTGGGAGATGGTCAAAACTCCACGAAAAGGGGTAATCCAGCTGCGCACCATGAGAGATGACCTTTACCAACACCACGACCGCATAAGACACGCAAGTCAATGGAACCCCGAGGCCTACGGAAAGCTTAGAGAAGTCAAGTGCCATCTGGTATATGAGTCGACCTGTCTTGACAGAAACCAGTCCCTCTGCTGTCCATACCCTGCGGTCTCGATCGAAGTCAACAAAGCAGCCGCACACCCACGTGGTTTTTGAGCCGCAGAGGCAAGGTCTTTTCCATTCCATAGGTGGCCAATACATTGATCAAATCTAGACGTGCCTCGAAGGAAAACGAAAAAGAAAGCCCCAGAGCCTCGCGACACAATGGGTTGGATTTTGGTACAAGAGGGGCTATCCGACGCAAGCCACATCACCCGCGAAGCTTCACCCGCATCTTCTTCTCCCCCCTCTGGGCCCGCCAAAAGTTCGATGACCGAATCATCTCCTCGCACCCCTCCAACACCCAGCGCCACTTGTTGACAAACAGCTCCGTCACCTCCCAGTTCATCGGGTCCCAAGGGTCTCCCCACAGAATCATCTCCCCCTTCCCGGACGGCGCGTCTCCGTCGCCAATCATGTCAAGGCACAGCTCCTCATCGTCATAGCTCCCGTCCGCCTTGATAAGGTTATCTCGCATGCGCGGCAGCGGCAAAAAGTCCAGCCAGGGATGGTGCACCACCGTCAGCTGAGTCTCCGTCGGTCGCAGATACACCGGCACGCTCCACACCGTCCGCTCGTTATACCGCGGGTCCGTTCCGAACGGGGACACGCAGTCGTCGTCGCAGACCATCGGCATCGTGATCCCCAGCGTCTTCATGTTCTCCATCAGCCCCCGGAACAGATTGAACTGCACCAGCGGGATCAGCGAGTCCGACATTGGGTCCGTCCCCGAGTGCATCGCCTTCATGAGGAACAGGTCGTACAGCTCGTCCATGTCCTCGTCCTGCAGCTCTAGCAGCTGCCGCCTGCGTCCGATGTACGTCAGCGCCATCAACGTCGCGTGCTTGGCGTATAGCCGTTCCCCGTTGGCCCTCGAGCGCCTCGTGCTAGGGCGAGAGAGCTCCATGGCCGTGGTGTACATGTACGTCGCCGCATCGTCGCTGGAAGGAGAGGTATCTTCAGAGGCGGTGGAAGACGACGAGGTCTTGCGCGGGACAAGGGCCGTGGACTCGGTCGGCGAGATGCTTGTACCAGCGCCCCGGGCCGCTCCCTGGCCTTGGCGCAGTCTTTCCACCTTCCGTCGCTGTCCTAATGCGTTTCGATGTCCGCGTTAGTGAACCGTTTCAACTCTCATTCCATCTCGAGGCCATGATAAGCAGAGGGCATGCGGTGGCGGGGCACCACGAAGGGAGGCACCGTAAGCAGGTTGCATGTGCTGGGTGCCACTTACTCCACGTGCGCTGATTGAGCCTGTTCTGGATCTTCCTCCTCTCGGCCGCGCTTGTCTTGCCCTTCCAGTTGTCCTCGCTCGAGACCACGGCGCTCACGGCTGGTTGCACCATGCTCGACAGAGCCGGGTACGAGCTGGTGATTGCAGACATCGCGATCGATTGAATGCTGCTCAAGGTGTGTATTCTACCACTTCTCGATGAGATGATGCGGAAATTCTGATGGGAAAGCACAGGGAGAAAAGTCCCAGATCTTTCCGCGGCTGAGGACGAATCCGCGGGGATTCGGACTTGGCTCCCGAACAAGGGATTTACACTTTTGGGTTAGACAGTCGAAAATCTGGCATGTTTCCAGTTAGCCTGGATCTATCTGACTTGGGGCTAGACCGCGCTACTGCCGTCAGATAGATATTGTCCCTTTGAGATGAGCCTTACACAGTATTCGGCATTATTGCTCAGACTTTGCATTTTGTGCGCGCTACAGTCGACTCTGGCATCATCGTGGCTACGGCTTGTCGACAGGCGCTCAAACGACCTGCTGGACTTGGAGATGGGCCATCATCAGTCTGCCCACGCATTTCCTCGATATCTTTCCTCTTGGACCAGATTAGTGATCCTGTCAAAGCCAGACAGCGCTAGACAGCTCTCCCACGTGGGAAGCCAAACCATTTCTGTCAGTTGCACCTCGCTCTCTCGTGTCCGGTGCATTTTGTCCGTTTGGCCACTGGGCCTAGAGCTGAAAGGGGCCTGACGCGGCCGTCGACGCCTTTCCCCATTTTACTTGCTTTTGCTGCTCCATTGCCTGTTGGGGTGCAAACACCTCCCCGGGGCCCAATCACGAGGCTTACCAAGTGCGCCTAGCGTTGCGTCGTGCGACGCGAGATGGGATCTTCACCAGTGCTGGGGGTGGGCAGCACATCACATTGCGCTAGCGGACAGCTGAAGGCAGGGGTCTGATTTGACATACAGTGTAGGCGCACTGGGCTGGGCTTGTTGCATAAGAGAGGGGTTTTCTTCGCGTATTCCAGATTGATCCCCGGTGATACGGTTCTGGGGATTAGTTTGATGTGGCTTTTGCAGCCTGCCTGGATGTGGGTTATGACATACCTGGATTGCAAGCTCGCGGCAGAGCAAATGAATGATGGAATCTGCTGCGCAGCTGCGTCCTGTTCCAGATGAAAGCCACGCGAGAAAACCATGGTGGGCTCACCGCAACTTGGTTCACGGCTTGGCGACATTGGACAGAGTCGGCTAGAGATGTATGGATGAAGGTATACCGAAGGATTTGTCAAGTAAGCCCAACATGCAGTACCGTTGGCGACTGTTCCACGTGCTGATGCGCAAGGTTAGAGAGTTGTTGATATGAGTTCCACGAGCGATGTTGTCATCCGCGAGGGGCATGTTGTCATCGGTTGCTCCCGGCAAACCAGACATCCACAGACCTAAGAGAGCTTTAACTGGCTTACACATAGCCTACTTTTCACATAGACATGCCAACCAATTCTGGAGTTGAGCATAGCTGTAATAAGAATAATATGGTGCTTTGCCTGGTCAGCTAGTGATATCGTCTGGATGGAGAACTCTGCGTAAAGACCTTGGAGTGGTATTCTTGATTTAATGGGCCACAGCATACGTCCGACTACAACGTGTCATGTCTTCACTTTAGTAGGCTATTCAGCTCGAAATGCAGACGGCCAGATCCTATTCGGAGATCAGGTGTTCGACGAAGAACGGGTGCATCACCTTGCGGAAGAGAGAAAAGAGAACAGCTGCATGCCAGGCAAGGCAGAAGATCACGTATAAAGACTGAGATGGCATTGCTGCTAGAGGCTGATTGAAGTCACCAGCGAGGCACAACTTCAGTCCATAGCATCCTATTTCGGCGAACCTCTCCGCCCCTTTTGCAAAGCCAGGCCATCTCTCACCAAAGAACAACCCTCCTGCCATCCAAACCAAGCATCCGGAACCCCAAAATGAAGCTCCCCAATACTGCACTCCTCTTCCTCGCCGCCCACCTCTCCCTCACCTCCGCCGGCCCCGCCCCAACCGCAGCCGAAGAATGCGGCCCCCTCGGCGTCATTTCCTCCACCGACGCCGCCACCCAAGCCGGCATCAGCCCAGCCGACATCCGCAAGTGCAAGGAACACCTGCTGTCCCTCGTCAGCCGCCGCGCCGCCGCGGATGCCACGGACGCCACGGTCTTCGCTCGCGACTGCTGGTGGGGCGACAACTACGGCTGCACCGACGGCTACTGCTGGGAGAAGTGCAACCCGGAGAAGGGCCACTGGTGCTGGACAGCGTGGGGCGACGGGTTCGGCGACTGGAGGAAGTGCGAGGGCAAGGGGGAGTGTGAGCCTGTGAAGAACTCGGCTTGCGGGCAAGGGAATTGTGAGAAGTGCGGGTGCAGCTGTTGAAGCTGTCGTCACTAACAGCATCATGTGTTGAACGGGGGTTTGCGCGGAGCTTGGTGGTGGATTTAGGGGGTTCGATTCTCTGGGTTGGGTTTAACTTGAACCATCAAGAAGTGGTTCTACTTTCACTCGCTAAATTGATCAAGAAAAGAAATGAGAGTTGGGTTTTACGGTATTTCATTTCATGCTATGATGCCGCTGATGCAAAAACCCTCGCCCCAGGGGGTATGCTTTAATGCTGAAGATCTCACAACTCCACCAACACCGGACCAATGACTTCAATCTAAGCAGTATCGCAGGTAAGAGAGCCGGCACCCAGGTCGTTGCAGATGCCCTTGGTAGTGACGCCCTATACTACAGTCAGTCTGGGCGGTTCCCATCGTTGGGTGAGACATCAAACTTACGTTGCAAGTCCGGGTGCACGCCTGGAGGCGCTCGCTGCACGCCGACTCGGAGAAAGTGCAGCAGTTGAAATCGGGGTTGCACTTGCCCTGGGGCTCAGGGATGGCAACCGCCAGAGCGGCGGTGATGAGGGTGGCGAGGGCGAAGAAGTAGCGCATTTTGACTGTCTGTTGGAACGATTGACTGGTGGTGATCAACTGTGGTAATCAACCAAAAGGGACTCAAAAAGAAAAGACTTGCTTTATAGATTTTCCAAGAGAATCGTCCAACTCGGCGGCGATATAATCGCCTGCTATCATGCTATGTACTACTGACTCAAGACAAACTCTTTTAAATTGTGGACATTGAGATCACCGACCAATTGGTCTCGTTCTGCGACGGTGTTCATCTGTACTCGCGTTGACGGAGTACTCCAGTTCACTTAAACGCGGACCTTAATTCTTCTCGCTTTACCGACCATTATATTTAGTTGTTCCCAGGTCTTGGCTAATCAATTGCTGACCAGCCACAGCCGGCCGAAACAGGCGTTGCAAAGCCCAGCCGGCGGTGCCGGCACGTTTCGGTCATGTGGACCCACAAGGAGGACCGTCACGCGTATATTATCCCGTCGGCGACAAGAATAGACGGCCATCTAGGTGCAAGACATAGGGTTGCGCAGGGTCAGTGGCGGCCTACTTAGCTGGTCGTTCCCTGAGTTGCAGAAGCAGTTGGGGACCATTGTCTCATGCCTTGGAATCAACAGTGCTGGGCCATATGGTCTGAACGTTAGTAGCGTTTGACAACGATCACATGGATGTTGGGCTTGAATCTGAAAAGATTCCTTCATTTCCTGTAGACTATCTAAGCAACCATCGTGATATTGCGGTTACGAACACGGCTGACCTCGCAATCCCATACCCCAATTTTCGTCTCGACGTTCTCAAGTATCATACATAAGCGACCGTCATAATACAAGTCACTGCATCTGTACACAAAGACGGAACCCAGGCTCCGTCATGACTGAACACAATCCTGCGAGCTGGCACTGTTGGAGGTGCGGTGGCGCTTGGCTTCTCGAGCATGTTCAGCGACTCGTCCTCCCTCGAGCTCGCTAGCTTCGCGCTTGATCGGGACATCTGAGCCTTGCTTGTCGAGCTTGTCAATCTGTTCCAAGGCGGCTTTCCTCGCCGAGTTTATCTCGGCTTCCATCATTGCGAGCGTGAGTTCTTCGACGTCTCGAAGAGTAGCGAATCCGAGATGAGAGTTTGATTGACGGCCGAGCACCTCCACAGTGCGCTTTCTCATGTTGCCCATGACGGTTTTCGACATGGCCTCAATCTCGTCACGGAGGTAAGCATGGAGAGTTGGGCGAGAACTCTTGAAAAGTTTGGCCGACATTCTCTCGATGTTGTTCTTGTGTAGATCGTCATTCACATGAAGGTGCTCTTCCTTCGGCGTGACTGTCGTTTGAAGATTCTCGATGGCTGGAGACTGTGTCTTAATCTTTTTCTCGGCCGCCGGCCGCGACTGACTGTTGTGAGATTGTAGGGTGCATTCCACGTTCTGCGGAGTCAAATCCTTTGCCAGAGGAACGCTGCGGGGACGTCTTCCAAATGAGTCTCCCTTCAGCTCGTCGTATGATTTGGCAGGATCCTGGACAGCAATGGACGGATCAACTGCAGGCGGTGGGTTCATGATAACACGGCCGCCAACACTACCTTTGTTGTCACCGAAGGGAACCCCGCTGCTGACGACAGGCTTAGAAGACGAAGGTACCCCTCGAGACGGAGTGTTGTGTTTTTCGACCGTTGGGTTGCCGGTTTGATGTCCCGGAGAGGCATGACGCTTCGTTTGATTCTCGGTGGAGCCTCCTCCAGCATTCTTGATTCCCGAAACTCCCCCTTCAGAGACAGACGTGTTGAAGGCTGTTGATTTATTCAGGCTTGGGGTTTCGGGCTGCCCGAAGAGCCAACCCCGTCCACCAAAGTCCTTCTCCTCGCCGAATGTGCTTCCTGACGGCTTCTAGCCGGTTGCAGGAGTTGTCGTCGACTTGTTGGTCGAGTTGGTTTGTGCAGCTTGGGAAGCAGCCGGCACCGATCCAAACGTGGGTGTCCATGCGTGAGCCTTCGGGGCTGCCTGGGTAGGCTTTTGAGATCCAGTGGACCCGAAACCAGCGTTCCGGTTCACTGGCACAGCAGGAGAAGGCGTGCCTTCCTCTTTGACGATCGGTCTTGTCGGGGGCTTGAAAGGGGAAGAAGTTGTTGGCTTCGGCAAGCCTGGGGTAGAAGGGGTAGTCTCTGTACGCCGAGAAGGTCTTGGTGACAGGCCGCCACGTCCAGAAGCGATGCCAGCCCGTCCAGCGGTAGCAGGACCTCTTCCACCGCGACCTGATGGGGAACCGCCACGAATGGGCGAAGGGGATGCGCGTCTGGGTGAATCAGTGCTTCGAACAGGCGATGAGGTGCCTCGGACAGATGAGGAAGTCCCACGTCCAGGTGTCCAAGCACCTCGGGAGGGCGAAGACATAGCACGTATCAAGCGATCACGTAATTCGCCGGGTGTCGCTCCATTGGTGGGAACCCCAGTTCCTGTTGTCTTTGAGGAAGGAGCTGTCTTCGAGGCAGGAACTGTCGTGGAGGAAGAAGCTGTCGTGGAGGAAGAAGCTGTCATGGAGGAAGGAGTTGTCTTGGAGGAAGAAGCCGCCGGAGACGAACGAACACCAGTCGAAGCAGGAGTCGCCGCCGCCGAGGAAGAAGGTTTTGCCGGGGAAGGAGCGTTGAGTCTTTTCTGCTCGACTTTGAGAGACGGATCGCAGCATTTGTAGGGATCCCAGCCGTGCTTCCTCAGGTTCAGCTCGATGTACTCGTGAACGTAGCCCTTGTTCAAAAGACGCACGACCTCGCAGTCGGCCACTGAGGGAATGGTTCCCTTAGGAGGCGTCTCGGCGGGTCCCCAAGTTTGCTTGAGGCGACACCAGGCGTCCGAGTCGCTGTTGGCGGGAGGAAGGGAGCAGTTTCCTATCCACTCGAGATTTTCCAACTGGAAAACGACGTAAGCGCGCTCTCCGGGGAAGCGGTTGAAGACTGGGCTGATGTTTTCAAAAGCCCACTGTAGCCAGACGTCACGTCTTTTCTCGACCGGGTAGCCGCGCAGGTACGGCGGGGAGGTTGGCATCTTGAGGGAGAGGGCGATGACGACTACGACGCGGGGAAGGAGGAGCATACGAAGGAGATGGAGGAAATAAAACAACGCGGCCACTCGTCGGGGTAGAAAAGATGGGAAAGGCGAGAGGGAGGAGAAAGGAGGGATGGGTGAGGTACTACACCTTGCGTCGCGTAGGTCGAGGAAAGAAAAAAACAAGGCTCGCCTCGGGAGTTGGAAGGTGTAAGAAATAGAAGGGGCAGCTTCGATTTGGCAGGAGCCTTTGTTGTGCAGGGCAACAGCAGTCATCGATGGTGCTGCCCTGTGAGGCAAGAGAGCACCTGCCAGGAAGATTAGGAGGTCGAGGGGCCTTACTCAATGCACTTTGATGCCCACAAGCTGCCACAATAAGCACCATTCGACTCGACATGCCACAGCAAAGACAACCATGGCAGACCTAGAGCAAGAATCGATGATGTTCCATATGTTACAAAGAGTACATTATCTGTACAAGGGTCTATGCCAGACACATTCCTCTCCGCTGTGTTTCCCTTATTTTTCGTATCTTCATCCCAGGATACCACACCCAACCGCACCCTACGCCTGGCCCAGGATCCATTTCCTCTGGACCGGCTTGGGGAGATGCTCGTGGCCGATGACCGGCAGCGATCTCTTCTCGAGCTCCTTCGTGATGACCTTCCACCGACCAACCGCCGTCTCCTTGTCGATCGGCGTGACGCGGCGCTCGTGCAGCGCAACGTTGGCCAGCGCCGGCAGGCTGCCCTCTTGCTGGACCGCTTCAGCGACTTTGACGTTGACGGGCTTGGGAGGCTTGGCGATATCCTCGAGGAAGTTGCCGACGGTCTTCAGCTGTACCAGCTTGCCGTCGTGGGTGGAGTGGCCCGTCAGTTGGTTGAAGCGCTTGTTGAACTAAAGACGGTCAGGCATTTCTGTGAGGAGCTGTTGAGAACGAGGCAGAACTTACTGCGAAATTGACGACGGCGTCCCGAAGAGAGACCTTCTTCCATTCACTGTCCCAGGACTTTACCAGCTTCTTGGCCTCCTCGGGAGAAATGTTCACCTGCGGCTCGACTACTTGTTGCGGTTCATGCAGCTTCATCGGCACAGACTGTTGGTTTCTCTCTCCTCCGAGGATAACTCCAGTGCCGTCCTCGGATACTTTGATACCAAACGCAAACGCCCGCCTCATGCCCTTGGCCGTCAACGGGTTCCACTTGCCCGCCGCCGACGCCGGGTCCACGCGCGCCACGATGAGCGCCTCGGTGATGGCTACCCTGGCAAGCACCTCGCAGATGTCCTTGTTCTTGATGACCTTTCTCCGCGCCAACTGAGGCAACTGGCTCTCCTTGCCCCAGCGGCCGTTCCTCTCCCACCACCCTTCCATGCCTCCAACCGTCTCCAGGCCGTCGCCATCCATAGCGGGTTCGTAATCCTTCATGTCCTCAAGATCCTTCTCTTTCGGTGCCGTTGTCAGTTGGAAACTCGTCCGGAGCTTGCTGTTTGGGCGCTGCTTCGCAAACTTGCGCGGCCGCGGAGTCCGGATGACTCTGTTCTTGGGCTGGATCTTGGACTGGGCCTCGAACTCGGCCAACTGAGCATTGGCCTCGGCGATGTCGGCCTCGATCTGCTCCTGTTTCGACAACTGGGAGTTCTCGACGGCGTAGGGATCCTCAGGGCCAGGGGCCTTGCCGTCCTTCCACAGGGCCTTGCGAACACGATCGCGGACGGCGTTCTGGAGTGTAGGCGTAGTCGAGAGCGCTCGGCGAGCAGCGACGGGGAGTGTAGCGGGGGCGCATGTACATTGCGGTGCCGATGCAGCGGTCAGCAGAGGCTGACCGAAGCGCGTTGCCCTGCGCATCGTGGCGAGTTGTGCTATGGTGCGGCGTCGAGCAATTGGAGGTCTCCCGAGTGGCAGCACGACGATCGAGATAGAGGGAGCTCGATTGAACTTTTTTGGGTGCTGGGTCGGACTGGCGAATCAGAGTGTCAGAGCTCCAGCCACAGTTTGGTGTGCCACGGGGGGTTGTTGGCGGGCGATATGTGGCTTGTGCGCTAGTCAGCGACAAGCATCAGCCTCAACCCTTGACGGCGACAACCTCAGTCCTCGACTGCTTTGCGACGCAGGCGGCATCTCGACAAGAACCCCGCCAAAATGAACCGACTATCACTCATGCTCCTGCTTCTCTGCGGGCTTGTCGCTCTCGTTAGCGCCAACTGTACGTTCTCCCGCGTTCCGCCTCTGCGCAATGCCTACTAACACTCCCAAAGCAGCACCAACATTCTGCAAATGCACCTGCTTCAAGAACAGCACAATCGTCGCCCTAGGCCCCCAGCACAGCGATGACAATCCGGCCACCAATCCTCCACGAGACCTTCCCCCATCAGATCTCCACCACGAATCCAAGCGCGCCGCCTCCTCATCCTGCTCGCAGTGCACCAAGGCCTTTTGCCTCTCGCGGGGCATCGACTTTTGCCGCGACGCGACGGAGGAGAACGTGCAGACCATGTGCTTTCAACGTGATAGCAACAAGGACAAGGTGATTGTTTGGGGATTCCTCCTCGGCACCACGGGCCTGCTGGGCTGGGCGGCGTTCAAGCGCGCGCAGGAGCTGCGGGAGGGCAAGAGGCAGGCTGAGGCGGCGCAGGCGGGGAGGGGCCGGGGCGACTACAGTCCTTTGCAACCGGCGACGAATTGATTTTACATGGGTTCGGATCTGGCGTTATGGATGGGAACGGGAGCGCGGTCATGGGGTTGGGATATGGTTACGGGCATCAGAGGCATTTCCGGTCACGGTATCGCACATCACGCAAGGTTGAGTAGGTGGAGAAAATGCAAGCCATGTTGAGCAGAGCTATCTATCTTCTCCTATGTCCCGGGCACCACCGGGGGATGCAAGCATCATTTTACCCATGCACCAAAACCCATAAACTCGAAAAGATGACTTTTGAAACTATTCCCTCCTGAAGCCTCGAAATGCAAATGCCATGCACACATTGGTATGTTCTTTTTCTGCCTCCTCCACGATTTTGCCCCGTCTGCCTCAAACTCTTTTTCACGCACTTTACTCCTCCTCGAGGTGGGTGACCTTGTGGCTCTCCTCGTTGCCGTTGGCCGTGCCGGCGTTGACATCGCGGCGGGCGCGGACGGCGGAGGCGAGGTCCTCGAGCACGGTGATGGTGGAGTCCCAGTCGATGCAGGCGTCGGTGATGGAGACGCCCTTCTTGAGCGCGGCGGGGCCCTCGGCGGGGACCTTCTGGTTGCCCTCGTTGATGTTGGACTCGATCATGACGCCGATGATGGACTTTTCGCCTTCCCTGAGCTGCTCGCCGATGACGGCGGCGACCTTGGGCTGGTTGCGGTGGTCCTTGTTGGAGTTGCCTGTCGCAGTAAGTATCCAAAGTGTCTCATCCTGTTCAGAAGGGATGACATACCGTGGGAGCAGTCAATCATGATGGCCTGCTTCTGGCCCTTCTTCGTCAACGTCTCCTTGGCCTTTTGCACGTTCTCCTTGTCAAAGTTGGGGCCGTGGGAGCCGCCGCGCAGGATGACGAAGCCGTGCTCGTTGCCCTTGGTGCGCGTGATGGCGGCCAGACCCTGCTTCGTGACACCCATGAAGTGGTGCTTCGCCGCCGCCGCGCCGATAGCGTCAATGGCGACGCCGAGGTTGCCGTCGGTGCCGTTCTTGAAGCCGACGGGGAAAGACAGGCCGCTGGCGAGCTCGCGGTGCAGCTGGCTCTCTGTGGTGCGGGCGCCGATGGCGCCGACGCTGATGAAGTCGGCGAGGAACTGCGGGGAGATGGTGTCGAGCATCTCGCTGGCGATGGGCATGCCGGCGGAGGTGAGGTCGCGGAAGAGGGTGCGGCTGACGCGCAGGCCCTTGTTGATCTTGAAGGTGGAGTCGATGTCCGGGTCGTTGATGAGGCCCTTCCAGCCGACGGTGGTGCGGGGCTTCTCGAGGTAGGCGCGCATGACGACGCAGAGGTCGCCGGCGAGGCGGGCGGAGACGTCCTTGAGGCGGGCGCAGTACTCGAGGGCGGTGGCGGGGTCGTGGATGGAGCAGGGCCCGATGACGACGAGGAGGCGGTCGTCCTTGCCCATGATGATGTCGGCGGCCTCGTTGCGGCCGCGGACGACGGTCTGCAGGGCCGTGTCGGTCATGGGGATCTCGGAAGAGAGGAGGGCGGGCGGGATGAGGGGGTCCTGGCCCAGGACTGTGGTGGTGATTGTGTGTTAGCCATTGCGGATGTTGATGCGGATGGTGAGGCTTGGAGGTTGGGTTGGCGGAGTTGAGTCCGGTGTGGTGTTTGTGTCGTCGCGAGGACGATTGGGATGTTGACGATGAGAGTGATTGGTGTGGGGCAGAGAGACAGGCAAGGATGAAGGGAGTGACGTTGTAAAGTGGGTTCCATCAGATTTCGAAAGCGACGAGAGAAAAAAAAAGGTGACTCACTTCTCACGTCGTCGGCCGCGAGGGGCTCATGCTGAAGGTCGAGACCAGGCATTTTGATGTGATTTTGGTAGTGAAAAAGGGGTATCTAAAAACTGCAGCAAGTCAATTAGCCGTCAATTCGTTCAATGGCAAGATACTGTTGTCGCAGCCCGCTCGCACGTCGTTTTTCGTCCCATCGCGGGGTATCGTGAGAGTGGCACATCGTCCCGCGCATCCCCGGGCACGCCAGACAGCGGCAACAGACGAGAATCCGGGGTAAAGCAAGCAGAGCCAACAGCTTTCGGCCAAAGGCCAATCGGAAAGGTCAGAATTCAGGTAACGGCTTACATTGGACTTGCGAAAACAATTAACCAGGCCCGTCTACTCGTCTGTTCGTGCGGAATCGGTTCGCCGTGGGTGCGGAAAGGCGTGTGTGGTGGGATCTGCTGCTTGAGCCGTCGGTGACCGAGGAGGGAGGATGAATGTTCGTCCACAGGGGAAGGGGGCTGCCTTTTTGGAGGGGGAGAAGCAGCTGGGAGTGTGACTCAGAGGGTAAGGTAGGCAGAGAAAAGTGGATTGCAGTAATTGGGAGGTTTTTGAGCTGTTGTGTGTGAGGATGTAATTTAAAAGATGCCTCTTTTTTCCCTTCCTTCCGCTCTTTGTGTGATGTATGGAGTTTTGGGGGGGAGCTGCTCAATTTTTTTTTTTCTCTCTCTCAGTCCTCCCGGGGCACGTTCGGAGGCACGCCCGCCGGCAGTTGGCTGCGTGGCCAAGTATCTTCTGGGCAAGACTCCCGCAAAGAGGTACCCCTCCTCCTCCAATGTTTGCTCCAATATGCGGTGTAATGCACACTGTATCTGAAAGGGCGCCTCCGGTGTCTCTGCGGTTCCACGTGCGTCCCGGTCATGTCACTATTGCTGTCGAGATTCAGCCCTTGCGGTGGGCACAATGTCAAATGCCTCTCGTCTGTATGGTGGCATGATTTGGCCCAATTGAGGCAATTGTGCGCGCCCTGGGTCCTCCCGACGTCAGAGATGCGCCGTTGGCGAAGATTTTGGGACATTCCGCCTCCTGCGGTGACGCACAACGGCCGAGGGGGAGAGTCAGGACGCCTGGCCGATGGCGGGGCAGATGGAGGGGCAATGGGCGCATCTCGGCCGCTAGGAGGGCATGAGAAAAGCCTATCTCTGCCTTTGGGTTTTGTACTCAAAAACGTTGCCAATGATTGTGGCCGTTAAGAGTTACTCACGAAGACGGTTCGAGTCCAGCGTTAGGGAATGTCTTGATCACTCAAATCCAGGCTGTGCTGCTGAACAAGACGACTTTCAATGTCTGCAGGAGTCAGTATTTTGCATACAGGGTCTAAGACTGGGCCGTTTGGACGGAAGCGAGACCGCTTGTGAATGAGACGTACCTGATTGGTCAATTGAGGTGTTCTCACCGAGACTCAGCGAAACAGACCGAGATAAACGGGGCCACTCCCGGCGATTCGAGGTGAGCAGTTTTGGTGTCTCCGCTCTGTGCCGCCATCCAGATGTGCGGCAATATTCCGCCCTCGGAAAGATGTGGACTCGCTCTGAGGGATCTCATTCGCGAAATCTGAACAGCACTTTATCCATTCCTTGGTTCGATGTTTGACTAGGACCGATGAATACCTTAATTCAACGAGGGCTCCTTACATGAGCCTATCACAGAGAAGTAGTGACAATATGTGAGAGAGCTGGTGAGATTACATGCTCAAGCAACATCGTCCAAGGTATCTGATAAGAACTCGTTCTGAAGCGCAATTGCCGTTCCGCTCGTATGATCCGCAGTCAACCGTCGTCAAAGATGTTCCGCCCTCTTCCCTTTCCCACCTAGACTGAACCACCACATGACAGCCATTGCCAAAGCCAGATACTCCGTAGCATCAACATTATCCAGCGCAATCAAGTTCGGAAACGAGTCGTCCGTACAAAACCCCCACAAGTTGGGAAACAGCTGATTCCTCGCCCGGAACGCAAGCTCCAGAATCGACGGCCCGAACCCGGCGGCTTCCGCGCCCGTCACCTGCGTCAGAGTCCAGCTCGTCTCCACAACGGGATCCTCCCTCCGCGTCTTGTACCGCTGCAGCTTCCGCCGCTGGTCGTACATCATGAACCGCACGTCGTCCGTGTTCGAATACGCCACGGACGGGCGGACCGGGAAGTAGGCGTGCTTCATGTAGAACCCCCTGCCGTCGTATTTCTTGGGAATGCGGATGTGCCGGTCCGCTTGGATGAGGCACACCACCGCTGCTTTACCGGCGCCGATGAACTGGTTGATCGACAACTTTGTCAGGTCCCTCGTTCCGGCAGGCGCGGTGAACAGGTGCTTCAGACCCGTCACAGGGTCTGCGAGCATGTCGAATAATACATCCCACTGCCGCTGTGAAAAGTTCTCGTACCTATCGTCCGTATCAATGGCGTGTGAAAAATCGAGTATGACGAGCTCCGCGCTCACGGCCGTGAATGCGTTGACCTGGCCCACAATCTCCTCCACTGACACCCCGTTCGCGCCCTGCCACCGCAGCGGCGACTTGGTGTTGCTATAGTGCCCCGTAAAGAACGCCCCGCCAGACACCACCGGCCGCACGTCGAAGAACCGCACACCGCTAGCGAGTTGCGCGCCCACATCCAGCGTCTGCGTCTGCACATTCGCGGGCGTGACGAAGGGGGAGGTCTTGGTCGCCAGGCGGTCCAGACTCATCCCCGCGTCGTGGGACGCGAGGAGGCACGTCGTGCGCAGGGACTGGTGGCCGATGACGGGGAGGGTGTCCCGCATCCAGGTGCGTCCCGGCGGGTTCGAGGAGACGTAGCTGCCCTCTGTGCCGCCGAGGAACAGGAACGCGCTGCCGTTGTGGACGAAGGGCGTGGTGATTCTGGTGCCTTTGGGGTTGCCGAGGGTTGAGATGGAGATGAGGTGGAGGTAGTAGCTGCCCTTGCCGAAGTCGCGGCCGTTGATGCCTATCTCGATGGCGGGATAGGAGGCGGTCCCGACGGAGTACTGCGTGAGGCCCCAGTCGTTTGTTGTGGCTGTTCTGAATTCGGCGTAGACCTTGACCAGTTCCCCTGCTTGCATGTTAGGTGAGGTTCTGAGAATAACGGAGGCTGTGCCTTGCCTGGGTCAATCACTGATGGCAGATGCCAGGCGCTCATATCGCCGGCGCCTGGCGCGGGTTGATAAACGCGCGTCCATGTGTAGGGCGTTGCGTTGACGACGTAGAGGTTGCCGCCCCAACCCATATTGACGGTTTGCGCTGCAGATTAGCAGCTGCAGGATGCTTGAGGTGGATGCCGAAGGCTGTTCAGATGAGCTGAGAGGTTGTCGGCGCTCTTGGAGTGGTGCGGGGTTCAGACTCTGCTTTGATACGGAACTCTATGATCTCATTAAGCTTCCGGGGTGTTGCTTTGGACAGAGAGCTTGCGGGAAAGGTGTTCAATCAATTATGTTTTTCAACATGTTTTAAGCATTGAGTTGTCTACTGAAATTTTCGAAGGTGGAGAGTAGTACCTTATTGAGCATGGGCATGGTGTTTTGTTGTCATTGTGAGGTTCAAGCACGAAACCAAATAAAAGTGGTCAACATGAACCCCAAGGCTCGTCGTATTTTTCTAAGCAGCCTTAATAATAGGAGTTTATGGATCGAGGGAATATCTAGGATTGTGTCTTGTTGCATTGCTATTACTGTTGTCTTCGTTGCTCTGAGGGACACGCAGCCAACGTACTTCAACAGGCTGGGAAACCTGACAAGCCACACAGTTACACATATTCACAGTGATTTATGCTTCACAAAAGACGATATGTAAATAGGCGGCAAGTGGATCATCGAAACGATATAACTGAGCGGCGGTGTTTTGAACATGTGCTCTCTATCCTGAACTGATGGTCACAGAAGCAAAAGTAACCAGAACGACTTTAATGTCGAAGACGGGACAATGCCCTTGGCAGCCCTTGGCATTTATAGCTTGTAACTAGATAGATCAATCGAATGAATAAGAGTTTTTGAGGTGTTGGTGTCATCTACTGAAGGGGTCTTTTTTATTCCTCTTTAACTACCTAAAATAAATGTCAAAGGCAGGTCATAACGTTGAGTCCACCAAGGCAGCACAAATTTTGCGCAAAAGCTCAGCCAGGACGTGACGAAGATGAAATTTCAAATCAGTTATCTGAATGGTACTAGTAGTTTTTCCAATGTCCCCAAGGCGCATAGCACGCCTGCAAGACTCCAATGCTCTTCGTAGCGCAGAAATGCTTCCCTCAAGAACACTCTTAAGAACACTTCACGGCCATCAGCAATTGATTTTAGGGAGCGAGACAGCTCAAAATATTATCCAAGTACAACTGCCAATTAGAAGATGACCACTTAAGGAATAGCGTCGGTAAAGAAAAATGTGGTTGTAATTGACGTTTCTCGGATTTTCCCTGAGCTAGATGGCTGGTTATCTAGTCTAGTGTCCCTTTGTCCGGTCAATTTAGCCTTATGTGTGGCTTGTTGACCTCCCGTACGGATAATGCGCCGATAGCTTGCGAATTACTATGACATGGCATCACAAGAGACCAAGGACGTGGACGCTCTCACCGAGGCCCCACCGAGAAAGAGCCCCATAATCCGCATTCATCGCAGCCTCACCGAGAACACCGAGACATGAATCCCGCCCGGACCAAGTTGAACCCCGACCAACACTCTCCCCCCAAAAAATTCAAGGCCTCCAAGGAGATCAGTGCGGGCACAAAGGTCTACCAAGCGTCAGCAAGTCGGATCATGTCACGACAAGCCAAGCACCCCAGCGGCCCTGAAGCGCTCATCGACACCTCCGGCTGCAGGTCACATCCAAGGAGGAAGGGCGACAAAAAAGTATGTGAAACGGTCTTGGCCCCGACTTTGAATGAACCCGGGGCCACAGGCCACAGATCGACAGACTTCATTCGGTTTCGCGGATCAGCAGTCTTGGCTATGTGTGGCCAGAATTAGTAGCATCTTCTTTTACATCATCAACACTCTTGTTCGTCACGCAGATGCCAGCGTTCGGGGGGATAGGTAGGTTCGGCAGCA